TGGTCACGACTCAGCAAATTTAAGAAGCAAGTCAGGCTTGGGTTTTCCTCTCCCCCTTGTCAGACTCCCACTTGGTCGGCACCAGGCCCCTCCATGCTGACCTCCATGCCTTCCCCATCCCTGGTCCCCTGAGCTGCACACGGTTTTAATGGGGCACAACCCCTGGTCCCAGAGACAGGAAGCTCCGCTGGCAAAGGTAGACACGCCCTTAGCGATCGGAGGTAGGGAGACACTTGGGGTAGCATGCCATTCCTGATGTCCCCTCAAGCACACCTTCTGTCTTTGTCATCTCTGCGGAAAGAGGCCTCTTTCTTCTCTATTTTCCTAACCCCAGTCTTGCCGAGCAAAGGACACTGGGCCCAGTAGCAGGAACAACCGGACTTTGTTCCGAGGGCCCTGAAAGGCCACAGCCCTCACTTCTGTGTCACTAGCACAGCCGTGCGCTCTGCTCCGAGCTACAGGACACTGTGGACTTTTTTTCTGACGCTGGAGTCCACTGGGGCTCAGAGTAAAGGGCAGGGCTCTCTGGTGCACGGTGTAGTGCTGTAAAAGAGATTACACGCAGAACAACTCGGCCATCATCTCCTGGGCAGCTTCTGAGGTATCAGATGCCCAAGTGGATAAGCGATCAGCATTTCAAAGTGATTCTCGAGGACATTTTCCCTTTACTCAGGCCTTAGAGGGGCTTTTGTCGGGTGGAGAGACCAAAAGAAGCCCAAATACAACAGGCCACTACTGACCCTCTTTCTCCAGCCCCTCACACCGTCCAAACGGCTCTTGCCCAGGGTCCATGTTGCTAAACTCAGTACACCGGGTTCCGTCCTCCTCATCCCCCAGCTCTTAGCATGATCTGCCTTCTCAGAGCTGTTCACTCTCCCCTGAAATGTTCTCTTTCCTTGGCCCACATGGCACACACCCCTGGTTTTCCTCTCCTTCTGTGGCTCCCGTGGGGGCTCCTCCTCTTGGGTCCTTTTCTGAACCTCAGGCCATGCTTTCCACAGCGGGCCTGACGTCTCTGAGGTTGCAGACAATGCACAGGTATTTCCCATTCTACAGAACCGGCCCAGACGTTCTCAATCCTGCCCTCACCCCAGGCAACCCTAGCCACAACACTGCTCTCCCACACCTGGCTGTCAGCACCTGCAGCAGTTCTTGGCCACGCCCCTCCCTCACCCACCTGTGGCTCCCCTTCTGAAAATATGCTAAACCCATCGACTTCTTTCTACCCCCGCCATTGCCACATGGGAATCTGATCCCTCTCCCCTGTCTGCCTGTGACAACAGCGTCTTTGCTGTCTCTCCACCCTTGTCTTTATCCTTTTCCAACCTGCCGTCCCCACAGCAACGAGTGGCACCCTCATCGCCCTGCTGAGAGCAGACCGCCGCTTGCAGAAGAAGGTCCGGGATTCCAACAGACCCTGCACTGTTGGGAAAGACCTGCTCCTTCCCACCCTGCAGTCTCATTATAAGTCTTCTCCCCATCCTTTCTCCACAGCCCACACACTCTCCCTTTATTTCAGTTTCTTTCATTCCAGAGCCTTCCCACCTGAGCCTCCAAACCCGCTCTTGCCTTCACCTGGATTGCCCCTGTCGCCCTACGTTCAGGGCCAGCTCTGGGTCAGACTTCAGCCCTCGGCCATTTTCTCTCTGGGGGTGCCTCGCCAGACCCACAAACTAGGGTAACACCCCTCTGCTCTGAGTTTCTCCTCCATAGTACCCCAATCTCAGCACTGAAACCAAAACGTATGTTTAGTTCTTTGTAACCACACCTGCCTTCCCAGGAGGCTGAAACCCATGACGCCGAAGGACCTGGGGCAGCGGCACATCTTCAGGGGTCTGGCTGTGAAATGTACAGAGCGCCACTGTCGAAGGGCACCATGGGTGGTATTCGTCAGGAAGAGGGGAGCTCCCACGGGGGGCGGGGCTCAGTGAGTGGGTCCCAGCGAACTTCCAGTTTCTGTGTGCGAGAGCCCCCCATCAAGACTGACGACGGCGGCCTGAGCGCGGATCTGAAGGAGGGTGTGCTGATTACCCCGTGGGTGCCCAGGAAGTCCAGGCCCCTGGAGGGACACCCTATACAACCTTCTTGTTAAGGAAACAGGAAGTCTGGAAATACTACACCTTATAATTTGTCATGACTACATCATATATTAGGTTCACAATGATAAGAAGTCATTAGTCATTGCATATTTAAAAAGTGCTTAATGATCCTGTGATAAGTCTGTGGCAGGCCCCAGGTAACAGGACCATAGGTAGCAATGATAAAGAGAACAGGGCAGTCCAAGTCAGCGATGATGGCCCGGCTGGCCAAGGTCAAGGTTTCAAACCTCAAGCGAATCACAATGATGTCACAGGAACAGGATATGAGACTCGAACTCCAAGCCCCCTCATCTGTCAGCTGTGGGCCCAGATGGAGACTGGCCCATTTGCATAAGGTCCCACCAGGCTATTGGCCTCTTACCTGGAGCTGGGAGGGGTGGGGCCTGAGGAAGAGACACAGAGTTTCCTTCTGCCCAGAAGGTGGAAGCCGGGAAAGCAAACCCCAAACTAGGGCCCCGGATCCTGGAGCCACAGGCAGCAGGAAGCCCAGGTGGGGGATAAGGGGCTGAAAACAAGAAGAGGACCACGCAGAATGGGAGGCGGGCTGGAGAGATACCGCAGGTGCAGGCCACGTCCTCACTAGCTTGTTGCTAAAAACAGAGTCCGCTGCCTAATGTCAGAGAGACCCGGCTTAGCACCCCAGCCCAAAGTCACCACGTGGGTGACCTTGGGCACAGTACTTAATCTAGCTGAGTGAAGTACAAGAAACCCACTTTTCACATTTTGAAAGTGAAACGCCTTAAAATGAATCTTCAAAACGACCTACAACATTAAGAGACAAAGACAGATTATAAGGAATACACATCCACATTTGAAAGACAAATCATTGAAATAAAGCTGAAATATTTAGTTACTTAATATTTCATTAAATGGTAAGCAAACACATTTTGAAAGTGAAAGTATTCGCCGGCCTAGTGTTTAACATTCATTTATGGCCAATGTAGAGGATTAAGGGCCTGGTTCACGCATGTTATGTCTAGCTCCGTGTAAACAAGAGTAGGAAAACACATGTTGTTTACCACGGTAAACATTGCTCAGCCACCAGGGGTGACTGTTGTGAGAGCCGCCGGAACCAGGAATTAGAACACAAGGGGAAGCAGGAAAGGGTGGAAATGACACTTGGTCATGCAAGAATATTGTGTATGCGTGCTGGGAGGAGGGGTTTGACCAGTCAGTCCGTCTTTTCTCCCATCTAAGTGTTTCCACCAGACACAACTGCCTCCACAAGCTCCGAGGCCGGCAGCCCACAAACCCCCAGAACAGGCAGAGCCATCACCTCCAGTTGCCAGGACACAGGGCAAAAGCTGTGGAGAGGCCCTTCCCTGGGGAAGGCCTGGGCGGACCAGTGACCTCCCACAGTGGGGGTTTGGTGCCTACGGGCTGGGCCCTGGATCCGCAGTGACAGAGGGGCCCTTGCATTCTTTCACAGATCCGCTTTTGGGTGCTTATGATCTATGGGACCCTAATGTGCAGGGCTCTTCTTACCCAGACCTAAGAGGGCTCCTCCTGGGTGCGTGGAAAACTCCCATGATTACTGAAGATTCAGCCCCACCCCGTTTGTAGAAACCACCTCTGGAGGGAGGGCAGGCCACCGGCACATGCCTGTGAAACTGAAGCGACTTGTTTGTGCCAGTGCTCCTGTTAGACAGGGCAAGGGCCTCCAGGTCCCGCAGCTCTTCTTCTAAATGCAGTTCCAGCTGCATGTTAAAATGTAGCACAGTATTTTGCAGATGCGGCTGTAAACAGGATGAGCTTGACAGGGACTCATTGGACAAATGTAGCCAACTGCAAAGAAGATATCAACATGTAATTAACCAAAGAGTGAATGGAAGCAATGGCTAAGCCTCCCTTGGGGAGACACAGCTACCTGAAGACAAGACAAGTACTTCTTGAATGGGACACCCCGAGCTGGGAACCCCTTGAGTGCTGTGAGCTGGGAACCCCTTGAGTGTTGTAACACTCCTACTTGAAGCAGTCCTAAAGCAGCCTCCTTGAGGGCCGTTATCTTACAAATAAGATTTACCTGCACGTCACGCTCTGTTGTATCTCAAGGATAACACATGTTTAATGTGCCAAATAAAAAGTTGTACTGAATATGTTTTCCCAGCTACTCCCACCATCCTGTCGACGTGTCCTGGGGGAGAGCTCTGGGCCAGGACCGTGGCTCACGCCCCTGGGCGGCCCGACAGTGGGCCCACGTGTGTGCCTGGTCATGCCATGAGACAGCACTCGGCTCGTGCACCGACCTCCAAGGCTTGACTCGGGGACCCAGGCTCTTGGGATTTTAAGAGTTGGTTTTTTTTTTTTGCTACGTGACACTCATCACATCTCTTACTTGCAGAATCTAAGTACTAACGGCCCCACAGATTCTTCTTGTCCTTGAATCTGGGACATGAGGGGTTTGGGAAATGTTGGTCTTGAGGCCTCGAGGCCTCTTAATTGGTCAAGACAGCAGCCTTGGTAGGCGTTTCTTGGTGCCACCTCTTAAAAAGGATCAATGAGGACACTGAATAAAAATGAAAAGAATCAGATGGCACATGTTTACAGTTCACATGAAGACTGCAGAGTCAGACCTGCACTGGTGGTGCAGAAAATGAAGAGGACTGGAATGCTTCAGACCCTCATAGTTCTGTTGTGACTATGCCTTTAAAACAAAGCAATTTGGGACTAAAGCAAGCTATTTTACGTGGCCAACAGTCACTAAGGAAGTACAGCAGAGACGCTGTAACATTCCCCCTGGGACACAAACAACAACAATAGGGAGCCAGTCATGTGCTTGGGTTAAGTAAGCCCCAGCCGAAGGTGGTATAAAAGGGCGCCCCCTGCAGGAGGGGCATCAGACCTCCCTCACCTCCTGAGTCTCCCTGCTCGCCTCTCCTGAGTCCTCTCTCTACTGACACCATGGGGTGCTGTGGCTGTGGTAGACGCTGTGGTGGCTGCGGTGGCGGCTGCGGTGGCGGCTGTGGTGGTGGCTGTGGTGGCTGTGGTGGTGGCTGTGGTGGTGGCTGTGGTGGCGGCTGTGGTGGCTGCAGCACCTACCGGGTCGGCTGCTGCTCCCGCTGCTGCCCCTGCTGCTGTGGCTGCTGTGGGGGCTGCTGCAGTGTCCCCGTGGTCTGCTGCTGCCGTCGCTCCTGTGGCTGCGGCTGTGGCTCGTGTGGCTGTGGCTGCGGCTGTGGGAAGGGCTGCTGCCAGAGGAAGTGCTGCTGCCAGAGGCAGTGCTGCTGCTAGGCGCCTGGCCCGGCCTCTGGGCAGGTGCTGCCGGGGGCCACGCTCACTCCTGGGCTTAGATGTTCAGACCTTCTGAACTTGCATCTCTCTGGTTCACCTACATGTCACACTTGTGGTTTCATAGAAAGACACCTGATTTGAAAACAGAAGTCCCAAATTCAAGTCCACGCTCTGCCAGAACAGCCCAAGCATGAATAAGTCACCTTAGCTTCCCTGAGTTTTATTGCCTTACTGACTCATCTGTAAGATGATAAGCTTGAACTAAGAAATCTTTAAAGACCTTTATAGTTTTATAGTGGTATATGAAACTATAGAGTTCTCAAGTCTAAATTCATACTTTCTCTACTGTATAGACTCTTTTATATAACCTGGCTGGAGCGGGCATTTATATATATATATAACACACACAGTATTTATAAAGTATATGTAAACATCTCAATCCAAATTGGTCTATCAATCTAAATTTGTACTGTACTTGAGTTTTTTCAAGGCCACAGCTTGAAAAAATTCACATTCATGAGCTCAGTGGAATAAAAGAATGCTTTTTAATGTATTGCCTTTTTTCGAAATGTTTGCTGTTTGTGGAATTCTTGTACATGCATCACTACTGACATTGCTTGTATACTGTATATTTCTCACTGTTTCGGCGCTCTCTACCTTTCCTGAATACAAGTTCTGAATAAAACACCAGAAAAAAAAAACCCTAGAATTTCACTGTCTTTGATTTGTTTTTGATGTTGTTTTGACAAGGGGCGGGAATGATGGGATTCACGTTGGTCAATATGTGGCAGGCGTAAGGGAGGTTCTCAGGTGAATGGCAGAGGATACACTGAGTTTACTGGGGTGGTGCTACCCACTGGAACAAACTGACGCAAAGTGTACAACGACCTAACACAATAGACATTTATTTCCTGCTGATGTCAGTTACCTGGAGCTGCTCTGGGCGGGCAGAGGGGTTGGGGAGCTGCACTCCATCCAGACATTCAGGAATCTAGGTTGATGGGTATTTTCAACACACGACTTCCAAGGTAGCTTCGTTGTCCCCGAAATGTAAGTGGAAGAGAAGAGAGTGGACAACAACGGTCGCTTCTTAAGACCCATAGCTTGAAAGTGACACAGCTTATTTCCCTCACTTCCTGTTGGTTAGTGGTAGTCACACGGCCCAGCCCAAATGCATGGGGAGCTGGGAAGTGCAGTGCATACCTGGCTGACACCTCCAACAGTTCTCTACTGTGCAAGGTAAAAGCTTAGACATTGCTGGGCAATAAGCGTATGTTCTAAGAAAACCTTCAGCTAATTTGCCTGGCGTATGTTAGGAAGAGGATGCCAGACAGAGAGACATGGATGGGTGTTCCACACCCACTCATGTAAATTCCTCCTGGGGTGGTTACCCAGGGTGCTGTGGTGCACACTCGGTGCATGGGTGGAGCTCCCTTAAGGTCAAGTGCATCTTTTGTGGGGTGGGGCCTCCAAGCCTGGGCAGAAGGTGGAGGAGCTGCCTTCTCCTATAGGGCTGAGGGAGGAACTGTAGCCCCTGGGGTCTGACACAAGCCCCGCTGCCCCCAGGGCGGTGACGTGCAGGGAGCTAGGAGCGGGGGGAGAGGATAGAACAGGGTGCTTCTGCGTCACCTCCCGTTCCCACCAGTGGCATAAATGCGACCTGGCTGGGACTCCATTCTCTCTCGTACACTCACTCTCTCCTATGCCTTAGAGAAAGACATTTTTCTAATACTCGTGGAGTGTTCTCTTGTGAACTAAATAGGACCTTTAGACTTGTTTTTAAAATGTTACACATCATTCTAGACATTCAAGTCTAAATGTCTAGACATCTGAGATGTGTAAGAAATGCACACACAACTGAAATTATCTTAGAAGAATCTGTCATATGGTAATCCCAGATAATCTAGAGAAAAATTTCTTCATATAGTTTAAGCGAGATCACTATGATGAATTGTCTCACTCAGTATCTATTTTGATGTCCTTCTCCTATGCCTTTCTGCTGGGTAGAAGCTGGAAAGATTGAGAACTACATTTCCCAGAATACTCTCCAACTAAGGTCTGGCTGTTGCAACGATTAGGTCCACCCTTGAGAAACAAGGAAGACAGAAAGGAGGTGGAGGGCCTCTTTCTGCTACTTTTGTCTGTTGCTGATAAGGAAGATGGGGCTGTTGAATTTGCTGTACAGCAACGATGTTCCTGGGTCCAGACATTAGTTCTACGGAAGTGAAGGAACCGACGCAGTGGCGAGCAGAAGTCAAGTGCAAGGTCCCAGAGCCCAGTCACTAGCCTCGAGGGTGTGTAGGGGCAGGAGCAGCAGCAGCGACCTGGCTTCCTGGACTGTAGCTGCAGTGGTGTATGCTTGAACTTGACCATTCCAGAGGCGGCTTCTTAATGCCCTTGACTTTTTGACGCCTGCAGAGGCAGCAGCTCCGCTGGGCCATTCAGCATTCACGTCCGGTGAGGCATTCCTAGGGACCAGCCTACAGCTTGCCTGACCTGGCCTCCTAACAATTTGGAACACATAACTCCTCAATTACATCTCTTCCTGCTTAATGTAGGGGGAGGGTTTTGGTCTTCTGCAACTGACAGTGGTACGGAAAAGACCCTTCTGACCATCTTTTTGTGTCAAATTCTAGCCACCTCCAACACTGAGAGGAATCCTACTTCCCTACCCCTCTTCATAGAATCCTCCCTTTTTCCTGAACTCCTCTTGCTGCTTCAGTGTGGTGTTGGACACGTTGTTTGCACACTTTTCTGTCCTTGGTTTTAGTGACTCTCAGACCTAGCATTTTTGTTCGCACATAGAAACCCACTCATAGTAGTATAAAAGGGATAATTTATTATAAGAATATAGAGGCATCTCACAGAAAACAAGGACAGGACCTGCCGTCAGTCGGTGTCTACCTGGGGTTACCTGCTCCATGCGGCAGAAATCAAAGAGCAGAAAGCCTGCGAGCACCCAGCCAGCTCCCCTTTCTCCGCCTTCCTCTAAAGCCACGCCCTCGCCCTTCTTTCTGCACATCCGCTGTCTCCTCCTCCTCCTCCTCCTCCTTTTTTGCAGACTGATTCCTCTGTTTCTCCTGGCATAGCTCATTAATTTGTACGATATGGTAGAGACTGCAGATTGCCTACGCAGGACCCTCTGTCTCCTACCCCTTCCTCTCTATTTTAACCGGGCCCACATCACTTGAGATAAAGGCATTATTCCCGGACTCCCTTGCAGTTGAGTGTTGTCACGTGGCTGCCTTCCGGCCCACGAGATGGCCCTTTAGAAGGAAGAAGGTGGGCCTTTCTCTCTCTTTATCCTTCCGAGTGGAGAGTGGATGTTACAGTTGCAGCTTGGGCCACCCTGTGTTGATCCCGAGTATGAAGAGGTTAAAAAGATAGTGGATCCAGGAACTGGAATGATCCTTGAGGCCGTGGAGCTATCATTCAGGCTCTTGAGTACCTTCCTCCAGATTTCTCGTGTGCGAAGGACTACATTTCTTACCTTCTCTAAGATATTTCTATTTGCATGTCTCTTCACAGGCAGCTAAAGCCCAATCCTAACTGGTACACATGTTCTCCCATTTCATGTGTAACAGCGAATAACCAGTGTCTCTTTTCCAAGCCCTGGGGAGAGAATGGAAGAGCCGGCTTCTGTAGCCACCTGTACGCAAATGAAATACAGGTCTACTCACGTAAGGGGCTGTTTTTACAGGAGACACGTGGGTTGGAAAGCTACCTCAAAAATTGTCGATGATACTCCTTCTGTTCAGTTGTAAGCTAATTCCCTTTTCAGCTTTATCGTTAAATTTATCATCCCTTTCAGAAAGTATAGACTGTGTTTCCACACTTTTACATAGTTCTTTGGATACTTAGGCTTAGTCGCAAGTGCAAAGAAGTACCAAGCCCAAGTGGAAATCAGTTGTGTTTTGACCTCTGACAAAGCATGCCGCTTCCTAGGTTTGTCTTCCAGCAAAAGAGTCTGGAAGTCAGATTCCACTCTCAGAGTTGGGTGGGGTCCACGCAGTTCAGGTCCCTAGAAATAAACTGATATCTAAACAGCTCTTTAATTCAGCACCTCATCAAGGAAAAGGATGTACAGTTGCAGACCCACATTCTAAAGAGGTGACTACCTCTTCACATGCAGTCAACTCAGTAATATAGAATTTCTTTGTGTAATATTGCAAATGACATAATCATAAAACCTCTATAACCTACTGGGAGGGTGATTTTTAATGAACTTTTATAAAACAAATACGTAATTGTTCTAGAAACCTCACCATGCAGGAGTGTACAGATCATAAAGTGGAAGCATCTCCCTTCTCCTAGCCCACTGCAGGGTTCCGTGATGGTGTTCTTCCAGTCATGTGCAGTGCTGTGTGTGCTATGGGGGTGGGCGGGGTGTTCTGAACCCATTTGGTACAAAGAGTCATCTTCTGCTCTGACTCCAAACTAGGGCTAATAGGTCAATGTCCATGACCAGACACGACGAGTGTAACACAGTTACTTTGCTCTCCAGCTTCAGCAGGCTGGGGTGATACCCTCTAAGCCCATTCCATCTGAGCTTATGGATGGACTCCATTTCTTGTTAATTCATTCATTCACTCATCCATTCATCCATCCATTCATTCATTCACCATTCCCAACAGCATTTGCTGAATCCGTGCTCTGGACTGGGATGGGAATTACACAGAAGTAGAAGAAAGGCATGGTACATAGTAGAGCTGCCTAATGTTTGATTTGCCTCTGGATGAATGTTGGTTTGTATTTCATCACCCGCTTGAACTCCAGTGTAACTGAGTGACTCATCTGCCCAACAAGATATGAACAGAAGCGATGGGGGCGCTCTTCTGAACGGCAATATTCAGACTCAGAGTGTGGCTCAGTGCATCCTTTTGCTCTGCCTCCACGACTGTGGGCGCCAGAGTGGAGGGGACCGCTGCCTCTGTGAGTGTGGGACGCTCAGTAACCACCAGGAGCAGAGTCCCTCGGTCGATTCGTGGTGGATGATTAGCATAAATGAGGACTTTGTGTTTTAAAGACTATCCCACTGACAGGCCTTTTCTGGAGAAGCTCAAGAACTGGTAGAAAGACCACAGGGAAGCTGGGTCCAGAAATGTGCTGTACGTGACCAAGTAAGTGCTAAGGTTCAAAGAGCCGTGGCCGGTGTGGCTCAGTTGCTTGGGTGTCGTCCCACAAACTAGGAGGTCACAGGTCTGATTCTCAGTCCAGGCACATGCCTGAACTGTGGGTTTGGTTCCTGGGTGGGGTGTGTATGAGAGGCAACCGATTGATGTCTCTCTCTCACGTCGATGTTTCCCTCCCTCTCTTTCTCCCTCTCTCTCTAAAAAAAAAAAAGTTCGAAGAAAATAAAATACGATGATCCCTCCCCCGGCTTCTCCTCTACCACTCCGTTCCATTCTGGTCTCCACAGTTGAACACTTAAGAGTCTAGTAGCATTAATTGGACTTCACGCAAGTCTTAATGGGGTCACCTCTAAGTCTACAAGACTGGGATAACATGACATCAAAAATTTTTAAATTTTGTGTGTTCCCCCAGATTTTGACTAATCAAGAACATTTGTAGCAGAGGAAATATTATTTTGCAATCTCATTTTTTGTTGTGAAACAATTTCAAAGTAAGGAACTTCAATACTGGCAATAATGTCAATACAACAGGAGAAAATAGTGTATATTAACTGGATATTTTTGCCCTCATTTTTATAAGCTACACTAGTAAAATATGTTAGAGAAGCATCTCTTTTTAAAAATATTTTATTTATTTATTTTTAGAAAGAAGGGAAGGGAGAAAGAGAGGGAGAGAACTATCAATGTGTGGTTGCCTCTCGTGTGCCCCCCACTGGGGACCTGGCCTGCAACCCAGGCATGTGCCCTGACTGGGAATCGAACTGGTGACCCTTTGTTTTGCAGGCTGGTGCTCAAACCACCGAGCCACGCCAGCCAGGGCGAGAAGCATCTCTTAAACCTGTTCTTCTTTGTCCTTAGCTTCGGCCTGCCTATTTTCACGCCTAAGTTTACCTAACAGAAACTGGAGACTTTTCCCCAACTTCCTTTCCCCACCTCACGTAATGTAAACTTACCCTTACTTCCTGTTCCCATACTAATGTACTTCCCTCTTGGACTCTGAACTGATTCCCCAAAATTAATTTTTATGAGTGCTAATCTTTAACCAGGATAGAAGGCTCAGGATAAAAGGCACAACAGGGCCGCACCAAGAGCCACTTGAAAAGCACTTCTCCCTGCACCGGGGGTGGCCATGACTTGCTGTGAAGGATGGACCTCCTGCAACGGATTCAGCCTCCTGGTTCTGCTCCTGCTGGGGGTAGCCCTCAATGCAGTGCCTCTGGTTGTCAACAGAATCGATGAAGGCCAGTTTCGTCATAACCCCATCTCCTGCTTTGAGTGGTGGTTCCCAGGAATTATAGGAGCAGGTCTGATGGTGAGTAACATTTATGTGACTTGATGTGGAGAAAGCCCTACTTTGCCAAAGTTCTAGTGACCATCTTTCAGGCTTCCTGTGACCTGTTTTGACTTAGGATACAGGCAGGGGTGGGGGTATGGTATAGATTGGTTAGCAGTGAGGAATGACAACTTAAATGAATTAAATACGTGGTACAGGCTAAGGAGCTTGGGCAAAAGCTAATGAAATGGATGGAAGTTGGTTGGGTTATTACCCATCGCCTTTCTTTACATGTAGGACTGCTCCTTCAAGCTTTACGGCTAGTGTTAGGGACCTTTTCAATGAATCCCCTCAAATTTCCTTCGCCAATACCGTGCTCAAGCACTCACAGGGAAGACGGCAGGAGTGGGAGGTGCTCAGTCAGACTGGGAAGAAACGTTGCACGCAGGACGGACATTCTGAATGAGGACAATTGCGTGGCATGAGTGTGGCATCGCCTGCACCAAAGGGAGTGGGCCTATGGGATCTGGGACCCGAAACCCTGGCCCCGTGACCTCTGTGCCTTCTCGACTCGGATCTTACACATGGCCCAGGGCGTCGCCATGCTGGTTCCACGCCAAGTCTGGTGATTGTCAGTAGTCCGTGCGTGTGGATGTCTGCAGCGGAGCAGTGTCTGTAGTGCAGAACTCCCCAGGGTGCCTGGTCGTGAGTCGCCCGAGGCGCCTGTAGCAGATTTACAGACCTGCTCCTGGGAATTCTGAGGAAGCAGGCCGGGTAGGGCCCACCTGTGTGGAGGAGTAAATACTGTTTTTGGGCCTGGCAGAGTCTCTCAGCTCTAGCTCCGTCTCTAATATATTACTGTTTGCACATCATTTATCCTATGATTTTGTTTCCATCTTCACAAAATGGGGGCGTGGAATTTGAAGTTTGGGAACTCGGCATTCAAGAGGCTTGCTTTTGTTTGTTACACCACGGGGGGCGCTGCCTGATGGGGCCTGGTTGGCGCCAGAGGGATGAGCCTTTGCGTAGACGTGTGTGGTGTGTGTGTGTGTGTGACAGCTGCTGCTGCATCTCTGTTTTAGAGATGCGGACACATGAAGGCCATTCTTCAATCGTGGACACATTTTCTGCCTGCATCCTGAATCCTTCACGATGATCAGTTACCGCTGCTGGTCTGACCCCTGGACTCACATGAAAACACTCTTGAGTCATCGTGTATTAAACTCTAGATAAATATTTGTCTTTCGGGAGGCACACAGGACTTGAGATAGCAGAGGCATCAGGAAGCATTCCCCCAAAGCCGATGGCTTCTTTTCCTTTAGCACTGTGAGCAATGCGTTCACCCTGCTTTAGGGAGAAAGCGCTACTGAAAGGACAAAGTCTGGAAAGCTATGCGCCAATTCTTCAAATAGCCACGAAAGTTCTCTCTTCCAGGCTGAGAGTGAGCACAGTGCCCAACGAAAGTGATGCCATTGCAGATCTCTGTGTCTGTTTCAGCCCTTCTGAAGGCTCCTCTCTGTTGAATAGCGTGAGCTTCCTTTGCATCAGCTTGGGCCAGAAGCCAGGAGCAGCTGGCCAAGACTTGTCCACAATGGTAATTTCCTGGAAGCTCCTGAAAGTGCCTATGTTGAAACCCATTTAGAATATCTCGCCTAGCTTTAGATATTAATCGGCTCTACCACAAAGCCCATCGTGATAAAAAAAAAGTCTTGCTAGTATTAAAGGAGCCAGAGGTGATGATGGCACCATGCCTTCCATGTAGTCTTCTTCTGGGGAGCAGGGGGTGGAGAGAGAGAAAGACACAGAGAGAGACCACTGCGAAGTGCCAGCTCCTGGGTTCATGCTTCACACTGTCATCTCATTTAGTCTCTACAACGATCTGGCTGAGGAGATACTATCCACTGTAATCTAACAAACAAACCGAAGGTTAGGAGCATTAACAAGGTCACAGAGTGGTTGTGAAACCCCATCCCAGATTTATCTGACTCCAAGGTTGCTGTCCATCTGTATTTGCACTGTAGTCCGCAGCACCTGCCTCAGGCTGATGGACGGGGAAGGTGCAATCCATGACTTAATCCATAAACTGAAGTGACCAGGAAGCTGAAGCACAGACAGGTTTCATGAACCTAGGAGACAGTTTCCGAGAACCTGGACTTCCTTGTTCAGAGACTAAGTTTACTTCATTGCCTTCAATAAGCATGATCAAAGAGTATTTATGACACAAGGTTATCATATCTAACTCCGTCTGGTAGAATGTTGTCAAAGTATCGATGACTCTTTGAAAAGTCCATTAGGTACTTTATAGATTGAACTTCAACCTCAAGACTAGGTTCACACCCAGACAGGTGGACAGGTGGGTGATAGAAGAGCTCAGAATACAGGTGTATTTTCGTGGTTCTCAGCTATACCTGTGGGGAGCTCTCTACATAATGTGGGAGAATAACTTTTCAAAGGGAATTCAGTCCTTCCCAACATGTCAAAACACTCACTAGTGCAAAACACTGACCTCTCACCCTACTTGTAAAGGCACAGAAAAGCTAATAAGGAAGAAACCACTGTCTGTGATAAGCGCTTTTGCCACAGTTCTTGAAATCCTTCCAAAATTGCATTAACATTTTACATTGGTATTGCCTCCAAAACAGAGTTCCCAGGAAGTCGTCAAGAACACCTGGGGAACTGGTGACCATAAAACACACTCTGGCTGTGTTCCTCTGATGGACTCGCGGCAGAGGGCAGCCTTTTTATCTTCTGAAATCACACCTGAGAGTGTTATAAAATTATCCTCAACTATTTTGTGCTAAATGAAAAAAAATCAATAGCTATTACTTTTCCTAGCACTAAAAAAGAGTTTTAAATGTTTCTTCTAAAAAAAAATACAGGGGTGGGCAAAGTAGAGTGACAGTTGTAATAGAAATTAATACTACAATTAATGAATAATCATATAAGAATAAACTGTTTCACATATTCACAACTGTATTCACTACTTTCCCCACCCTGGTACCAAGGCCATTTTATACAATGTAACTGATCTTCAGTCTGATCTTCATCATGGTTATTCTTCACTGAGTTCTCTTACTACACGATGGTAATTTATCAATTATTAAAGTGTTAGAAGAAACTGTTGAATGTTAAACCAGTTCGATGTCTGTATAACAAGCATTCGTACCATCGAGTTTTTGTATTTGTGATGAGGTCTGGCTTTGTTGCCCTCCTGTTCAAGTACTTGGAGGACTCCTGAAAGTCTGCATTCTGTCACAGAGTATCAGTGGCCTAGAGCTCCCTGGACTTCATTTGTAAGTCATATACCTTTCTTCTGAAAGTGAATGAAAGTACGTGAGGGTTTCCATAAGGGAGAAGGGACAATACTACCTCTCTACAAAAACAAAGGACCATCGAGACTGTTAGTTTCACAAAAGCTCTTATGCATTCAAATGTGCGGAGGACACACAGGGAAGGAGTACTCTCACAATTACTCATTTTGACAGACTACCTGGAAGATTTATAATTCGGTCACACATACACCTACACACTTTCTCACGCTGTAACGTCCATCCATAGAGAGCCCCTCCAGTTTCTAAAGCTCTGCATGGGCAAAACAGTGAGTTATAACATAACAAAGATGCGTTAACAGGCCACGAAGCAACTGGGTGGGGATTCATATCAGTTATTGCTACTTTATAAAACCCCCTTGCAGGGGAAGGGAACGATAACAGTAAATATTCAGCATCTCTGAAATAAATTAATCTTAAAGAAAGTCAGCAGAGTATAATATACATCAATAAGTAAAATGGAATCATATGTCCATGTAAGCTGTCATTTAATGCTGCTCTTTCTACTAACAAGTTCATTAATTTTCTAAGTCAGTAGTTGACAAATTTTTGTCTGGAAAGAAGATCACGAATATTTTAGACTCTGAGAGCCAGAGAATCTCTCGCACGACTCTTCAACTGCACTGTTGGTGTGAGAGAGCAGTCACAGATAATATAAGTGAATGGGCATGGCTGTGTTCTCATAAAACTTTATTTGTGACAAAGAAGTGGTGGTGGGCCACAGTTTGCCAGTTCCTGTGCGAAATGATTTGTTCCTTAAGCTCAGAAGACTGTAGCGCGTATGTATGGGTACCAAACTCCTCCACTTTCTTAGACATGTTCCTCAAACTTTCTATGCCTCAGTTTTCTCATCGTAAAACGAGGATAATAATGGCACTGACTTTGCAGGACTGTTGAGGCTGGCACGGACCAAAACACGCACGGCCCCTACAACAGTGCCTGGGAGGTTGTAAGCACTCAGTAAAAATGCTAGAAAACGAGAGAGGAAGGAAAGAATTACTCCATGGCAGCTGTGCTGGGGTGGCAAAACCCCTGATGGCTCAAGTTTCTTAAGTGGAAGGAAGTCATTGGCGATCCACTCTTCAGTGACACAAAACTTCGTCCAGCAAGAATTTCTACTCACAGCTGCTGCTAAGACATGACCAAAAATGTAAACCCAAGCCCTAAGAATATGATGTTGTTTCTCACAGCTTCCCTAGGCAACATGTATTTATTTCCCTTGACACAGAATGCAAAATACACAAGAGTTCTGAACACTAACATAAAGAAAGGAGGAGAAAGGAGAGTGTGGAACCAGAAATACTTCCCAATCCTAAACTGGGGCACCAGCCAGACGGTGGTGAACCTGGGAGGGAGAGGAAGGTTAGGGAGTGGGAAGGAGTGGGGTCGGAATTCTTCTCCCCGACTGCCAGGCAGGCACAAAACCGTCCGTTTCCATCCTGGATGCTAGCCAGACTCCCAGCAGGTTTTGGGAAATTGGGTAGCAGCGGCAGCTTACAGTAACAATAATAAAAAGTGAATTTTGGATGGTGCGACCCATTCTTTCAGGAACATTGCTTCCAACATAATGAATAAATAACTCACTTGATGTACAACCCGCGTCTCTCTCAAGATGACTCAGAGTCCAGCAGTGTAGGAGGAAGAGGCTGGAACTGCCCTCCTGAAATCCCTCGTTCCTCCCCACTCTTCAATCTCTCTGGTTGAAATGGGGATCGAAGATCAAGGGCATTGCCAGATTTCCCCTCTCATCCCCTCCGGTTCCCCGGACTGCTGGTAAACAGAAGGCAGAGATTACTGCTTTTACAACTGGTGAGAAGTAATAAGACTCGTCTTTCCTGTTGATGCAATTTCCAGGTTGTTCCGGCAACCATAGCGTCCTTGGCCGCGAGGAAGAGAGCCTGCTGCAACAACAGAGGCGGCGTGAGTACCGGGAGGCGGGGCTGGGGGCAAAGGGCGGGAGCAGGCGTGCTCAGTTACGCAAAGCCATCCCGGGGCTGCGGTAGCCACCAAGTCACCGCGTGGCTCCAACGGCAGGCCCGTAGTCTTAGAAACGTGCTCTTAGGGTGATTACACGATCACACAGAAACTAGAGGCTTTCTGCTTGTCCATAAAAGTATAAATTTGGATCCAGCCTCTCTTCCGTCTCCAATTTCACCTGTCTAAAGGTCTTCAGAAGAGGGAGATTTATACACCACACTCGGAGCTGAAATCGATTTCATAAGAACAAAATTCTTGTTATTTTTGTGCTGCACACGAATACTTAAGGGAACTGTATCCTCAGGTCTCTCAAGCATCTGAAAGGTTAGTTTGCTAGGCTCCAAATGATAATTGCTTCTATTTGGTTGAAGAAGACACGAGTCATATTTTCAAACATTTGCTACATACCTACCAAGAATAAAATTGTAACTAAGTAAGTTGAAAGTAGTCAAAATTAATACTTGTCAACCTTCTGTCAATATCCTCAGAACACATTCAAATGTACTATCTTATTTCACTCTCTCAAAACCCTTAAGTGGGAAGGGAACGTGACCTGTTTTAGTGACCAAGAAAGGGATCCTCAGGGAAAGCAAGTAACTTACCAGGGCAGCACACCTAGTAAACCCATTTTCATCTCGATTCATTCGATCCCCAGATTCAGAGTCGTTACATTACTGATGTCATATGAACATCGTTACTGACGACTCTGAGGGCCCTGGTGATTCTCCAAGGAAGGCGGAGAGGTCAGTCAAGGAGCAGCCACAGCAAATTCCTGGCTGAGTCTGTGGTTTGAAGGCCGTGGTTCTCGGTCTGTTCCCTGCCGTTAGAATCCCCGGGAAGGGTCTTAAATATGCCAATGCCAGGCCCCGCCCCTCCCGCCCAGGGATTCTGCATCAGCATTTTTCAAAAGGAGGATTCTAATGTGCTCCCGGGGGTGAGAGCCACTGTTTAAAGAGCTACATATTTAGATCCATATCACACATCTATATTGATAGCAGTTAAAACATTTATTTAAAAAAGTTGTCCTTTTGTCATTTGATATTTACCTAGGATTATAACTAATTTTGCTGATTGTTTATAGTCTATCTTTGCTCCTGATACATTGTAGGTGTTCAATAAATCTTAGATTTCAGTTTTCCCTTTATGCACGTTTCTTCTTAAGCTGCCATCACTTGGGGTTGGGCTTCGTATTAACTCCGTACTGTACTCACAACATTCTTGAGAGAGCCAGCCTGACATATTTCTGAATCCCCAAACTTGAAAATATCAGAATATTTGCACAGATTTTTGTCTCGTGTCATATTTCCAGTAAGAATCTCTCCCGCCCCCAACACACTCCTACCCTTCCCGACAAAGTTGGCGTCTTCTCAGCGCCCATTTTTCTCTCTCCACCGAGGACGCAGCGAGTGGAGAAATCAAACCGCTTGCTCGTGCGGGTGTTGGACCTGACTCACTGGCCGAGGGGAGAGGGCACCGAAAAACACTGTTCACGCTCTGTTAGTGAGAGTGGGGCTGGCTCTTAAATCACGAGTGTCCGTGGGTTAGGCGCAATGAAGGGTTTTTAGCCACTTTGCTCACCAGCCGTGTGCGGACTGCGGTGTAAGTCAGACCTTGTATCCTTCGGCTGTAGATAAGGCCGGAGCACCGGGAAAGTGGTGAAGGAGTGAGTCCCTCAACGGAGACGTGCCCCCTATTTCAGCTCTTCCCACCATGTCCCCGACTTTAACTGTTTCCCTGCTCCTTCCTTTCCTCCATTGATTGATTTTGTTTCTGAATACTTTGGTTGGGCCGAGTCATTTACATGAACCCCAATGCTAAGGGAAAAACAGATCTTGGAGTAACTGTCTACAGCCAGGCCTCTGTGCAGTGATGGGGAGTCAGAAATCGTAGATGGCCAAAATGCAAGCACTGTGGCACTTCTTGATGAGCAAATTTAAGGGACCTGCACAGGCCAGGGAAGGGTGGCAGATTCAGGGTTTGAATTACACCCCAAACCCATCGTTCTGCTGGAAGAAGTGCAGGTTGGTGATTAGACCTTGAGCTCTAGTGTTTAACCAGCTGTGTGGTCCAGAAACCTTATCCAGCACCCTAAACTGCAGTTTTTTCACCCAGAAGAGGGGAATGATAGTATCCATCTCTTGGGGCTACTAAAAGGATAGTAAAGCCCATGTTCCCTTAACACACTTTATTTAAGTAGCCATCTATTCTGCTTACACATTAAAGGCAGGCATGAAGAATACAACGTGTGAACCCTCTAGGACCCGCAGTATTTTCCCACCAAAAGGAGGTGCTCCTTCCCTTCATTTCTGCAGATTTAAAACAGCCACAGCTAACACGGACTAATAAGACACTTCCCTGAACAACGCAGAGCTTCTTTCTGGAAAACACAGCACACGTACACCAACTCTCTTTGGGGCTGTAGCACTTTCTATTGCCAAATCTCATGCTTCTTTTTTCTTTGTTCTTCTGTGACTCTGATTCATGAAATGGAAGACGCTTAGATACTGAAAATCTTTCCCCCCAACAGTGGTGGTGTTGCACCAAAATCAGGGGCAGTTCTGTGCACTCCCTCCCACTCCCACCAGACATTTGGCAAGGCCTGGCAACATTTCTGGTTGCTACAGCTGTGTGTGTGTGTGTGTGTGTGTGTGTGTGTGTGTCACTGGCATCTAGTGGATGGAGACCAGAAACGCTGCTAGACATTGAACAACAGACAGGAAGCCCCCAGCAGCAAAACGCCCCAAGGCCAGCAGTGCTGAGGGTGAGAAACCCTGCTCTCATGCCACACTGCCTACCGACCACTGCAAAATGCTCACCCCTGGCCACTTACAGGATTGGGGCCAAATCCAGATGGAAGATTGAGGAGTCGAGAGAGCAGACATCAAAATTCGGGGAGTTAAGGTCTAGTCAAGGTTCTACAAGGTGGGAAGCACACACACAGATTGGAGGGACCAGGTCTTCGTGTCCAGTTGAAACGGACACGGTTTGGAATTTTCAGAAAACGTGTGTCTAATCAAATGGCAGAGTCTGTGCCCTCTGTCTTCTTTGCTAAGTTACATCTAATCGAACTGCCACCTTAACGCCTAGCGCTGCAAGGTGGCTGGAGCTGGGCAACAGCAGCAGCTGCTGCGGAAACTTGAAACAGGCCGAGAACGTGCGGTAACAGGTGCGAATGCCCCGACTTCGTTTTGCAGATGTTTCTCTCCTCATTCCTGAACGCGCTCACGATCCTGGGCGCTGTGTACTGCATACTGGTTTCGGCACAGGCGCTCGTGAAAGGCCCTCTCATCTGTCAGTCTCCAGACAACAGTACGGCCAGCTGTGAATTCTCACTGGACAAGTTAGGGTAAGTGACCTGACTTTCACGGGCGGTCTCACACAGCAGCTAGTACGTGCTCATACCCACAGCTGTTACGAATCAAAACCAAAGACGCTCCCTTTACTAGCAAATCCGAAGTACAAAATTAGAGATGTCATCCACAGATGCTGGGCACACAGGCAGCTCTCAGCAGATGACAATCCGTCACCTATCAGTTGCCAGGGATCTGGAGGTGACAGGATGCACGGCATGCCCACTCTCTGGGTGACAGTCACAGAATGCAAACAGCTACAAGAGTGATCCTGGGCTTGCTGTGAACTGCAAGGGGTGCTCTCATTTTCCATGAGCTCACACTTGTGAGCTCACACTTGTTTTCCTGGTTGAACTCTGTTGCTGGTACCCGAGATGAAACCCCTCTAAGAACCCTCAGTCCTACTATGTAGTAAAGCGAAGAAAAATCAACTTGGGGTAGATGTGTCAGGGTGAAACGTCTCTCATTTCCCATCCTTCTTCCAATGGGTGTAGATCACTGTAATTAGACATATTTAACATGCCTTTTCTGAGTAAAAACGGTACGCCTGCTTTAAGAGCAGTGCAACACTGCGGTTTTGCATGAAGAATCAAGCTCCTTCAAAGGGGAGAGCTCCTTCGTTTTTTTGTCTTTAGCAAGTAGAGCAGCACCTGCACAAACAGGCCGACCCACATGCAGTTGTTAAGTAAGAGTCAACCATTTCTGACACAGAAAAAGTTTGAACTAGAAGTTTTATACCTACTAGAGTACGTGGACGCATGCTCAGACACCTGGATCATAACTATAATTTCTGGGCACAATATAATTTCTTTTTTTTAAGATTTTATTTTTATTTATTTTTAGAGAGGGAAGGGAGAGAGCAAGAGAGAGAGAGAGAAACATCAATGTGCGGTTGCTGGAGGCCTTGGCCTGCAACCAGGCATGTGCCCTGACTGGGAATTGAACCTGTGATACTTTGGTTCGCAGCCCACGCTCAATCCACTGAGCTACGCCAGCCGGGGCTTACGATATAATTTCAAAAGTGCTTTGTGTTACTCTACTTACCCTTCCCTGGGCACGATGTCGCATTCTTCTGATGGACAGTGAAATTCCTGACTATCTTTTCTTTCATTTTTCTAGGATGCATCCAGAATCCTTAGATCTACAGTGGTTCAGCAAAGGATCCTGCGTACTTCCAAATGATCCGAACTCTCCCCCTGTGAACAACTGGAGAAACGACACCGCGTCCTCCGGGTCTAAAGAAGAGAGATACAAGACGATCCACTTCTCCGTGTTTGTCGGTCTGCTGCTTGTGGGGGGGCTCGAGCTCCTGTTCGGGCTCAGTCAGATACTCATCGGTTTCCTGGGCTGTCTGTGTGGGGTCTCCAAGCGGCGGAGTCGGATTGTGTAGTAAATGGCAACAAAATGAAAAGATTAGCAGTTCGAATCATCTGAGAATTACGGGTACATTTAAAAGACATCCTTTAGGAAGTTATGAGTTCAATAATGAAACATTATCTAGAAAGCTGTAGTTAATCCTTTTAGTCCAAAAGGTTGTTTTTAAGTTACTGCTAAGGTGATTATTTAAAAAATCAGCCTTTTACATGTGAAATAAAGCATGTTGGTAAATACAACACATAACGCTTTCATGTGAAAAGGTGAAGATCATCAGTAGTTGACTTTGGGGAGCAATGAAGACAAGCTCTGAATTTGTTTTGTACCTTTCTGTACTGTTTGGGTTCCATAACTCTATATTCTTCTGAGTGAAGAGGAAGGGAGGGGAAGGGAACTGGGTGGCGGAGGGAGGGAAGACAAGAAGAAACAGAAGTTCTCCTGGAAGTGAGAATGCAGGAACTTTTTCTTATATTTCTCTACTGTTTAAGAAAACCCCCCCACAATAAATACCTAACTTAAATGCAATCAAGTTTTAGACTGAATTCCTAGCTTACAGGAAATTGAGGCAAAGAGGACATTTGCAACTCAGACAAGTTCTAAAGGTAGGACAGTAAGTAGACAATAGCCTTCTGTTTTCAACAAGAAAATGCACAGGAGGAAAAAACACGGAATGCGTTGAGGGAGCTGTTCTACACTGAGAACAGACAAACGGGATTCCTCTGCGTGTACTGTGTGGACCCTGTTGGGACCAGTCGGGAAGCCTGTACGAATATGCCCCTCCCCTCCCCCTGGAGGGGGGAGGGGGGTGTCGAGGGGCCGGTTAGGTAATATTAAGGACTTAATGTGATTTTTTTTTTATGGCTGTTAATGATTTCATGGTTGTACAGGGAAATTTCCTTATGTTTTAGAAATGCATATGTATGTGTTTGAGAGAAAGTGTCACATTTTTAAAATAGTTCAGCCAAAAATAAAGCAATGGAAAAATGTTAAATTGTTATTTTAGGTTACAGGTATATAATGAGTGATTATACTCCTTTCCTAGGTTTGCATTTTTACAATAACTAAAAAAACTATAAATACCTAGAAAAATATCAGCCTGTCAAAAGCTGGTTTCTATGTATGACAATCTTTAAAAGACAGGATATTAAAACAGTGTATTTATCATATTAAAATGTTATAAAACACAGACTAAAAACCTGCAATTTTCTGAATGTGATTATTCCTGCATTTTATTTCAATTACTTATGTTCATTGGGCTTAAGGCTCTAGAAATAACTTAGAATACTTACATTGCAGCTGCCCCTCAGAATTAGTGACATCAGGGACTTGTAGCCATTTTTTCCTGAATCCATTTACTGTATAAAGACCTCCCCATGCCAACTAGTTCTTATCCACTGCTTCACCAGCTCCTTCCGCTTCGGGGTAGCAAGGCCTCTCCTCTGCCCAGGCCCTGGATCCCTTGACACCCCCCGCCCACCCCCCGCACTCCCAGTCTAAGCTCTGCTGAGTCCTCTTTATCCTTCAGACGTCAGCACAAAGGGCGCTTTTTCTGCGAGGCCTTCCCTAACCACCTGGTGAAAAAGCAGGGGTCCTTCACTCTGTCCTTGAGCACTCTCATTTACAGCACTCACCACCACGGTGGGTGGTGGCAGTTTGATTTGTGCTGGAGTCGTCAATTTCCTGCTCCCCATAAGACCGTAAGCTCCATGGGTACCGGGATATGTTTTCCTTACTCACCCCTGGTACACTCAGCACCAAGTCCAGTGCCTGACACACAGCCCGGCCAGCAGAAACCATCTGTCTCTGGCACTTGGCTTGTAGTGAAGACTCAATGCTTGTTAAATGAATGCCGAATTGGGAACAGCCATACAATTCAAACACAAGTAAAATAACATGACAGCTCACCGTATGTAATTGGACAATGCGATCGTCTCATCACCCTTGGTGACCCCGCTCTCCAGAGGGTTGTGAAGAGACAGGCTTAAGCCTCCCGTTTCAAAGGGCACCAGAAAGCATGGCTCCACAGAGCACAACCGGCTGAAACAGCTATCATTTCCTTGCTGTTTCAGCCTTGGGGAAACTGCTGACCTGAGTTAAATCCCTCTGAAAGCCCAAGGGCCGCCTGTGGTTAGGTATCCTTTGGGGACGTGCCATCTTTGCTCCAGCACCTAAACTTACGAACGCCTATTTGTAGACATACACACAATGTCCTCTGTCATTTACGAAGCTGTTTTTATTCCTCCCTTCCACTCCCCAGTTCAGTTTTTGGAAGCTACACTTGTATATATTCACCGTATCTACCATGGGAAACACTCCCTCCTCCCCCATCTCCCTTTCACCGTTATCTCAAGCTGCACTTCCTCAATAAAACTCTTTTCTTCACCCTCTAATTCTGTAATAAACCTTATTCCCACCCTCCCCATGGATCTGTTGATTCTTTGACCAGCACGCAGGGCTGGTGGCTATCTGTGTGGCCTCTCAGCACAACGGGTCCGTGCTGTGTGCACCAGAGTCTCTACTCACGGGTGTCACGGAACACGTGTGACACTGACACTGGAAGGACCGTTATGGTCAATTACAGCTCCCCGAAATTGAGGCCTCCAACACAGTTCAATTTCAATGTCTGTTAAGAAGCCACAAAACAGACATTCATGCAGAAGAGGGAAGGAGAGGGAAGATCTTCTGAAACTATGCTACTTGCATAAAATTATCCCTCACAGAGCAAATGCCTCAACAAGCACCCCTAGGGGCCGAGAGGGGAAGCGAGCCTTTGAACGCAGTTCTGAACGCAGTGCGCCCACACATGTGCTCCGCTGGGCTGGACGGTACTGCTGAGGGCGTCCGGGGCCTGCCACCGCCACAGGCCCAACGGTGTCCTTTGCTCCTTCGTTCTCGGCACCTGGACAGTCTTTGCTTGCTAAAATCAATCCCATGTGTTTTTCAAGGTTGAGCTCCAACACCTGGGTAGTATTTCCTATCTCGACCTGGACTGAATTTGTTCCCCTCAACTTCAAAACTACCTTCTTCCAGTGACTGACAGCTACAGCAGGGAGGCAGCCTAACCGAGCTCGGCTTTGCGGTTGGAGCGATTCAAGCTCTTGCTGCAGGTCTGTAACACGGCGAACGCGTTTCTTTGCGCTGATTTACCCTCTCCCTATCGGAGTCGTCTTTGGGGCCCCAGCTTCACCAAGGAGTCTCCCATGACAGCGGCCGAGACTGGGAATTGTTTCCCCGTCCCCTTGACAACCATTAAGCAAGAAAGTTCTATAGTGTCCAGTGTTTGGAAAAAATCAACGGGAAGAAAACAGCTTTTGTATTTGCTTATCTCCCAGAATTCCTACTTTTATTTCCTTTGTGGCCTTTGTGGAATCCTCTTCATGCCTGTCTAACCAAACAGGTACTAGTTTTATCCAGTTTTTATAATTTTTGTGCTTTCAATTGGGTCATTCACAAAAATTACCTTGTGAGATATATGGCTATGATTAATTACATCATTAGGATATCACACAAGTCAGAAGACTTTCATTTGTAAAAAGAAAAAAAAATAAGGCCCTGGCTGGTGTTGCTCAGTGGACTGAGTGCCAGCCTGCGAACTGAAAGGTTGCCAGTTTGATTCCCAGCCAGGGCACATGCCTGGGTTGCGGGCCGGTTCCCCAGTTGCGGGTGTGCAAGAGGCGACCAATTGATGTGTCTCTCTCACATCGATGTTTCTTTCCCTGTCTTCCTCCTTCCTTTCCCCTCTCTCTAAAAATAATTAAGTAAAATCTTAAAAAAAGAAAAAGAAAAAAAAAAGGTCATCAAACTCATGATAAATCCTGGGAAGTTAAGTAAATTCCTTCCTCCAAGGATTTTTTTGATTTGAAGGATGGGGGGTAAAGCAAGAATAGAATGTTAAATCTACCTATATTTAAGGAATTTCCCTCCCCTGCTTTTCCCAAAACTCACTGCCTCAGAAGCAAGATATTGAAGCTGTGTAGAGGGTACTACACCTCACTAAAATTCTATCAGGTTTTGAACCAAAATAAGAAAAAATAGTTTCAGAACTGAGGGCTTCCAGGACTTGCTTCCTTGGTACAGTTGTTCTCATGAGATTCCGTAGATGAGCTAAACACTCCAATGGGAAAAGCACACGCAGCTCAAGGCACTTTCATCCGCACCACACTGTGGATACCACAAACGAGAAAACCACCGGGAACACAGCCAGCGCCCCCTGCAGGGCGAAGACCTGAAAGGACGCACAGCAGGATCTCGCTACCTGCCAGCGAGCCGCAGTCAGTGCGCCTGAGACGGACTCAGGTCCACGTGAGGAAGGACGGTGGGATGGAGCTCAGAGCGCACTACGGTGAAACAAAAGCCCTCAATAAAGAAACACTGCTTTGGTTGAATGTTTATTAAATACACTACAATTGTACTTTATTCTGTGGTTTTTTAAATCATTCACACATAAACTTAGTAAAAATGTACTTTATAGAAAACCACCTGAAAAACTAAAATAAAAACAAGAATGCGCATTTTACACACATATTAGATAAACTGCTGAAAATGTCAGGAATTATTTTAATAAAGGTGATCATGAAACATGAGGCGGCTTGATTTTATTAATTCTGATTCCAGACCATGACTTTATAAGTATTAACGCTGAAATGTGGATGCAAGCATGTCTGTTAACATAACTGTTTAATAGTGATTGAGAAACAGGACAGAACATTCTTCTTTTTACACATACTTTTCTAAATCCATTCTCTACCCCTCTTCCACTAAGAGAATTACCTGTGCAGACTGATGAGGCAAAAAAATTAATTCCTTAAAAAAAAAAAAACCCAAATCAGAGCCTATTCACAACACATGCAGAGGGAGAATTCTGAGCAGGCGCCACTGCGGGACCGGTTAAAAGGGGATGCGGTTAAGTGACAGAGCAGCCTCCTCCACTTCTGCCGGCACGAGTCTTCCCCTCCTTTCCGGAGGAGCACCATTTCAGGACACGGACTGTAAAATGGCATACAACGCAAACACAGAAACAAAGAAGCTTGCAAATTCTTTATATTTCCAGCTGTCGAGACAATATTTTTTGAGAGCTGAGGTTACCCCTAGCGGCGAAACCAGAGCCAGCTGTTAAGCAGCCAGAACGCTACAGTGATCGAATACATGACCATTTCTCTTTTAGCACGTTCTTTGTTTTCCTCTTCCAGAAGTTGCAGGCGGCGGTTTAGTTTGATTATCTAAGTGAAAAACAACAAAACAACAAAACAGAAGCTTTACTAGAGTAATCAGATTCTTATAAAGTAGTACAGTTTGTCAAAATAATTATTACAAACATGGAAAACTTCATTTGGAGCAAAATAAACAAAACTATATATAGCAAAGTTACCTATGACAGCTTAAATTCGCTTGCGTGCTCTCCTCCCTGCCCCTCCTCCACATTTCCGAGTTAGAAAGGGTACACTTCCCCGCCTCCCCCGACCAGCGAGGTGGGTCAGCCAGCGGCATGCTGCTGGTCTGGCAGAAAAGCCCAAGCGCACACTCAGGCGGGCTCACTGCGGTGGAAAGCGTGAGGGGCCCCCGCCCTTCTGTGAGTTTCTGTCACTCAGCCTCAGTTGTTCACCTTTACCCTGCTTTAACACCCTTCTCTGTCCACCTCTCTGATTTACTGAGAGGACCCCCCCAAGTGAACCCCTTTCAGTGGTCCCTGTGACCCCCACCCGCCAGGGGATGAATTCTGCATCCTGAAGCCGGTGGCCCGGGAGCGGCTCATCACTAAGTGGACTCCAGAGTGCTGGGCTCCAACCGAGCAGAGAGACCTGCAGAAGTAGCAGCTTCCCTTGCTGCTAAGTCCCAGATATAAATTCTGCAGAATCTTCTTAAGATGCCATTTTTGTTACTTATCTTAGAAACTCAGTTTCCCAACTAGCTTTCTACTCCTTTCAAAGTTTCACAGCACGTGTGTGACTTATTTATTTCTAATGACTGTGTCTCTGTCTCTCCTCTACTAGTTCACCCTCTAAGGTAAGGGTTAAATGAATGCTGTGACAACACAAACTCAAATTACACTTTCAGAAAGCAAGGCTGTTGGTGTAATTGTGACTTCAATGATAAAGGTCAAAGGAAGCACTTCCTTCAATAGGCAGAGTACAAGTAAATACAGGAAAATATGTAAGAATTTAGGACATAGCTTCCATTTGTTTCAATAAATGAGACTCAAATTGAAAAACACTATTTGCTTCTTACTACCTTTGTATTGTATTAAATCTTTAAAATGATACTCTGATTTATTCTTCTGCTAGAATGTTCAGTTTCTTAATTTTAGAACTACTTTATTTTCATTCACTTCCCCTCCACACCTTCCTGGCACAAACACAACTGGAACACGGAATATGCCTTCCCCACACGTGTACGTCTCGTGTGGTCCCAAGGCTGGGAGTATATGTAAACATACATACGCACTGCAGTTTTAAGAGGGACTTAACACAGAAAATGAGAAGTTGCTACATAAAGACCCTCTTGCAAACTGAGAAGTTTCCAAAATGGAGTTCTCAATTTTATGGCTTTGCTGGTTTGCTAAAATGTCAAGATTCTTTGTTATCTGCCAGAACTACATCAGTCCATTCTGGTAATATTGTTTTATGCTGATCAAAACATGTAAATGGTGGTTTAACACATCTTTAATCAAAATGGGAAAATCAATTGTGGTTTAATAAATAGTCTTACAGATAAAATATTTTAATTCATGACTTCCACAGGCGAGAAATGATGAAACGTCAGAACTGTCCCTTTAAAAGTGAGGTGACTATCCCTCAGCATTACATCTTATTCGGTGCATCAAATACCTGTCGTCTTAACGAAACTGCATCCACAACGGTCATGTCGTCTGCAGTCCCCTCAACTGCTGCATCCAGGTTTGAAATGCCATACCTAGCAGACAGAAGTAAAAATAAAATTCAGTATTGGAACAGAACTCAGAATACCTGGCGAGTGCTCAAACAATTGTTCAAAGACTGGATGGAATTCACTAGCATGAATTCCTAAAATATTTTACCATCTGAGTGGTTACTGAGAAAGGAAAGGAAACAACCTAAAATAACTATCTTCAATGTTGTCAGTACCCTGAAACTTCGACAAGAAGGAGAAACCCTGACTAAACATACACGCGAGGAGACACTTTTCAACTCAGAGGGGCTGGCATCGTTACAACGGGTCCCTGGCTGAAAAGGTCTGGGGCTGCCGCTCTGGGGTGTGGCGATGCACAGCTCTCACACACTTATGTCCACCTGTGGACGCACAGGAGTCCCTGCTGAGACTCGCGGGCAGGGGACACTAACTCCAGCTAAAGAACATCAGACGGATCATTTTCTAATTTCTCCTCTTCTTCTCATTGCCTCTTTTCTTGCCATTTCTACTCTTTACTTCTTACTTCCAATTACTCTCTACTGTAAAATCACCTGAATACACTTTGCCACTATATCCGGATCCCAAATTGGCTCAATAATCAACCCTTAAGCAGCTATGTGTAAGACAGTAATACTGGAAAGCCACTATGACAAATTCCAGAGAAAGCAAATTAAAAAGTACTTCTTGCCCTGACGGGTGGACTTGCCCTCAGTGGACTCGATGTGGCCTCGATTCCCAGTCAGGGCACATGTCTGGGTTGCAGGCCAGGTCCCCAGTAGGGGGTGCACAAGAGGCAACCACACAGTGATGTCTCTCTCCCTCGCTTTCTCCCTTCCTTCCCCTCCCTCTAAAAATAAATACAATCTTTAAAAAAAGTACTTCTTGTTCAAAAGCAGTTACTTCTAAAAGGACACTGACTTTTAAATGAATGACAATAAACTTCTGAGAAACAAATATACATAAATATTACTCTTCTTCTTTGCCTGGATTTCCACTTTTAAATACATTTTTAATTAACAGCTTTAATGAGACATAATTAACATACCATACAATTCACCTCATGTTTATATCCTATTTTAATCCTGTACAGTTATTTCAGTAAAATGTTCTGAATGAGCAGAATATAAATAAACTGAATTTAAAAGTTACTCCTATGCAACATACAAAGTTGGCACATAGATCATGTATTGTAGTATTTCAAGCAAGTCCCCATTATGAAAAGCACATTACCACACAAAGGGGTACAAAGAGAATTGTTTTTCATCTAGGCATGTTAAAGACAAGTCTGTTCAGAAAATCCTTTGTTTCAAATGCAATTGCAAATAATCCAAAAACACTTCAATCAGGCGGCGTCATCATCACTCTGAACACTGGTTATAACGAGGCAGGTCGCAGCTTCCATAACGTGGTTTGTGCCAACACTAGATGATCTGGGATAATCTCTGGATGTGCCTTTGACAACTACATCGACTTGCCTTCTCATCAGCTCCCCTTTCTTCACGGGAGCAGAATAAACACCCTGCTATGCTGAGAGTAACTGCATCAACCTGGGAAATAAACTACTAAGTTAGCAGATGCTAGAGCTATGGGCTTACAAACATTTGAATTAATTATCCCTTTGAACCTCATGATACAATTAAACTGGTGGATTAAATAAAAGATGCCTCTTCTCTACATCTTATCCTTAAAACAAAACTTATCTATTTCTGTGAAGTCACACATGAGATGAATAACTGGAAAAAAATCAAGCAATAGAAGCAATTGCTTCAAAGGTCAAAGGGCCTGGACTGAACACAGAGAATGAAGTACAACTGAAAGAGATTACTCACAATTTAAATCCTGAATTACCTAAGGTTTTCAATATCTGTAAAGGAAACCTTCCTTTGCAAACAAATCTAAGGATATGGCAAAAACACTACATAATTCAACTTCAGACAGAAGCAAAACATTACCATGTGTTTTAAACTAAAATCTGTGTTTACCAGAACTAAAACTCTGTAAGAAATCCTAAACGAGATCACTGGTTGAAAACAGATAAAATGACCCCAACCTAAGAGTAAATACACCCGGGAAACTGGACAGTAGGCGGAGCTAACGCTGGAACAGACAAGTCAGCGCAGCAGCAGGGGACTCCCAGGCACCGAGGGCCGCTTGGGCTCCTCCCAGCTGCCCCGGCTGCAGTGAGAAACTGAGGTTTCCCTCTCCCACCGCCTCACAGTGGACGTGAGCTTCCTCTCATCATAGAAATGGTGCTGCCAGTTTTAAGCCTGCTGCCACAGACGATGTATTTGTGCTTAAGCAAAATTAGCTCTGAAAAAATATAGTAATGGTATGTGTGTATACTAAACAGGTTCTTTCCCCTAGAGGACGGGAAATGAAGGTTTTGGCACGTGAGAATCTCAAGTATTTGTATGTGTCCTTCCATCTGTCCTCGTGCTCACAGAGGAAACGACCCTTCAGATCCAGCACGCGTGAAAGTGAGAAAGGGGCAAAGGTAAAAGTTGACATCAAGGATGACAAAAATTCTTAAAACTGAACTCCCTTTATGCATGTTCAATTTCCCCAAATGGTCAATGCTCATTCCCCCCAAATGAAGAAGATGCCTTGCTACTGAAACTGTATGTAAGTAAAACATCTAGGATACACGATCCTATGTCATCACTGTTAAGCGTTTTCCTTGTACGCTGGGGGCCAAATGTCATGAATGACTACTCACTGTCCTCAGAGAAAAGCAGGATGCACTCAGAGAAAAGCTGTAGAAGTTCAAGCTGTAATACAAAGGCGTGGCTACTACATGCACTATCGCCTGCAAAACACAAGTTCAGTCAACTGTTCCCCCTGGGACTTACAAAGGCTCAAAAGTTACCTGACGTTGTCATGATGCGGATTAGCAGTGGCGGCGGCAGACCCACCACGCAACACAGGTCTAGGGCAGGTTTTGCAGAAGGCACAAGACAGAATCAGGAAACAGAGAAGGGATGAAATAAAAGCAAAAACAAGACAAGTGAGTGTCAAATATAGTTATATTGTATGTCTCAATACAATATGTTTCAAATAACTTTGAACATCTTTGTCTCACGTGTCCTCCATTTTAAGGTTTTCATAAATTTAATATTTTCGATGGGTTAAAAAGTAAATCTCTAGCTACTGTAACAAAATAGCACCAACATAAAATACTATTTTCTGTGCTTACATTTTAATTTATGAAATTCAAGATAGAGGACAACTCTACATAAAAAGTGTCATCTCCCTCTTCTAGTTAGAAAAAACATCCCATCGACTTTAGAAGCGTGTCAGGAACCGGTTAGTAGCGCCTGCATGATCGTGGTTGCTCATGTGATATCGACATCCCATCTCGAAAATGAAAATTTCACCTAACTCCTCTTTCCCACAATTGCTTCCTTCCCCCTTCATTAATTTTGATCAGTGCCTCCTAGCTTGATGTGGCCGTGTCTCATTCCAACTCCGAGCTCCCCAGAGCAGAACCGCAAGCCTCGGTTCTGGAGCGGAGGAGACCGGGGGCATGTTTGCGCGGACACACCGCGGCACATCACAGAGGCACCGATGCTGAGTCTGCGCTAGAGAGACAACCAGGAGCGGCATACAGGGCTGATGGGCATGGAGGCTAGGGCGCACTGGAAAACTTTGTGGGGATTTTCATTTAGTTTCGGTACAGACTATTGTCTTTAGAAAACAATTAGCTCCTTACCTAGGTAAGCAGTGACCATTCCAATACATCTTATTTTTTAAAATCAGAAAACAAAAGCTCCACAAGGTCACTGGTCAATTCCCCAAAAAGTAATCAGCAATATTTACTAAATAGAGAAAGAAGGGTGGAGTACAGAATGAATATAAGGATTTTAGGAACCATTACACTGTATTTTGAATATCTCATTCTCTAAGTACTGATCAGGTTTAGCATGAATTTAAATATAAAGGCAATTCTAAATTATAGTAATCATTTAATATCAAATGCACTAGTTTTTACTTTATTTTTTGGTAAAGTTGACACAGCTGTAGAATTTTGGCTATAACACAAATCACCCTTTTCTCAATTCAATTTATTAAAGAAAATTTTAGCTTTCAGCTTGAATGTGTCCTAAAGGCACTACTGGTGCTTAAATAAATTTTTGGAGCCTAGAGGATAAGAGATTCAAAGGCTTTTGTGAGGAGGGGATCTGTTAGAATTGTACTCTGTTCGCTACAGAACAGTGAGAAATCACATGTGCTTGAGACAGTTTTTAAACGTGTCCCGTCCTACTGATATGTTTACTCTGCGGCATTAGGAACACCGTTCCTTTAACTACCCCCTTACATTACAGGAACATGAGAATGTTTAGTAAAGCCAACGCGGCGTGCTACCTAAAGCTTTTTAAAGAAAGTCACACTAACATGCTCGCATGGATCTGCTCTATGTAGCACGTTCCACCACAGAGATCCCCCTTCATAGTGCAGAGCCAGGAGATAATACAGTTACCTTTCACAACGCATTTCGTTTTGTCTTCTTGCACTGGCAGTTGACACACATAATATAAAAGCAAATTAGACAGGCAGTTGGCATTGTACCGCTTTCCACCCTAAGTGTAATTTAGTACATTCAAAAGTCTTTTTTTTTTTTTTTAAGTTTGATGACTACGTTGAACAACATGTTTTGTAATTAGTGGCAAAAAGGAATGAGATCCAAGGCTCTGTAAATTCCAGGATTAACTTGTATATGGGCATTCTTCAGTAAATAATTTGACTTAATAAAATGTTTCTTTGTTTAAAAAAATGGAAATTGCTACAGTAAATAAGCAATTTAATTGGGGAACCAGGAATTACACACATTTTGAAAAAAGACAAATTATAAATAACAAACACTGTTTCAACTACAACTCCACATTCTAGGCTTTCCAAGTAATGTATTTATGCAGACAGTTGCAAAAAAATAAAATTATTTACATATTATTTTATTCTATATACACTTAAAGCTTGCAGAATTTGCTTAAGGAAAACTACAGAAGTAATCAAGCCCCTTCAAAATTAAGTCTTAAGCATGACTAATATGGCGATGTTTAAATAGTGTCCTTACACAGTAAGTCCCTTTTAAAAAACGTGAGCGCTGTGCGTTGGCCAATGAGACACAGAGCTCTCACCGATGTCAGAAGACCTGGGCGTTTCCTGCCCAGCCAGGGACTAAAACATACTGGCATTTAAAATCCAAAGAACACACCCAGTGCTTGTTCCAGTTGTTTTGATAAATAAACTTTTCTAATGCGTTAGATTTAACTCTCTCTTCATGTTGAGCTTAGTTTTAGATCATGAGTTCTCACAAGAAAATGAAAATGTAAACCTTATTTTTTAAACCTTTCAAGATAGATAAACCTTTCAACAATGTCCCTTAAAGTATAAACTACAAATAGTTCTTCTGCCAAGCAACTGGGAATCTGCATTATTTTATAATAAAGTCTTCTTTTTTCCTTCCTACCCTCCCTCCTTCCCTCCCTGTCAAATAGTGCTAGCTTAATTTACCTATACCTAATGAGATGGCATAAGACCAAAGATAATACATGGTTGTAACAGCCAAGAGTAATCAAGCAGAAAAGAAAAAGATATACAAAACAAGAAACATAAAAGCACTTAAAGTTTTATAAGCAGTATTATTTTATAATCATGCAAGTAGACCATTATCCAAATTTCACATTCCTAGTTCTTATAGCTGAAAAATTATGCTAGACAGTTCTTACAGTAAATATAAACCCCGATTTAGCACTTATGATTCTGATTAATTCTTGTTCAGCATTCAGTTTGTAAGAGATTGAAATACTATGATAAAAAACTAAAACGCTTTCAATAATGAAAGCACTCAGTAAGACAAATAGGAATCTAACCTTCCAGGCTCCAAGTAACAACAATGGTGTGTAACCGGGAACAAAGAATTACTAATACGACTACTTCATGAATTTTAAAACTCTCATTTAAGAAAATATCATTCCTTCCCAGAAAAGGGATTTTAAAGTTATCAATTCATTACAATTAAAACATAAAATACAAGTTCATTTTGGGCTCAAAATAGTTTTTCATAATTTTAACATACTGGGGCTTTGTCATCTAATTATTATTTAATTGATATAAGATTTATAAATATCTTTCTCATTCAGATATTTTCACTGTAATAGCATTTGATATGCTATAATCTGGCCTAATAATCTGGTCTCTTCTAAGGACCTATTGTAATTAAAAGGTTAAAGAGGATACCTGGTGAAGAATGAATTTATTTTAAGGACAAAGGAGAAAACAGGCTTTTGGAAATATTAGTTCCTAAGTGCCAGGTACTTTATATTCAGCATCTTTGAAGGATCTCCCACCACACAATAAAGAACTGGAGGCCATTACCCCTATATTGTAAGTAAAAGTGATGATGGTGGTGGTTGAGGGAAGGTTCCTCACAAGAATCCAGAAAACGAGGTGATATTTTACCCTTCTTCTTCTTTCAATGGGTGAGAAAAACGAGGCCAGAGAAGCCAAGCACTTTGTCCAAGGTCATCTCACACAGCTAGATACTCAGTGGGGGGCGGGGGCAGGGCGCACGTCAAGACTGAATCTGGTCGACCCCCTGTATCCATGGCTTTTTCTTCTGAAGCATGCTGCTTCTTACAGGCTCCAGACACTCTAAGGTGGTCCCCGAAGCTTCGAAGAGCATAAAAAGAAGCTGAAACCCTTGGGGAAGAGGATTGCTGTGTGTGTGTCTCCCCTGCCACGAGCTTTCTCTCTGCAGGTCTTTCTGGTACAGCTTCGGTCCCTGGGCCCCAATGCGTACGTACCACTAGAGGAACCCTGGGAGGCTCCGAAACGCCCGCTGAGCAGGACGGACAAGTTCCTTATGCAACGGGGGCACACCTGGGCTCCAGGGAGGCTCAGAGCACTGCACCGGAAGTCTGTCCAGAGCAAGCTGCACACACGTCGGTTCCCGAGGGAAGAGGTAAGGTGGACCGGAAGGGCCAGCTGAATTTATCGGCTGTGCTTCAAAATTCGACAACCAGCAGTCTAATAAAATGATCCCGAAAAGTCGAACACTGACTCCCAGAATTACTAGATAAAACGTGAAGAGTTGAAATGAAACTGAATGTACCTTTCGCATACTATGCCAAAAAGCTTCCCAAATTTCATCTTTTAAAAAATGTTATGTAGGAATGAAGCAAGGACAAAAATAACCGCAAAAATTTTATTTGTATGAACAAGTCTAAGTACACTACTAATGGTTTTACCTGATGTTCAAAAGTAGATGTTATCGATTCCAAAAAAACATGATTTTCAAAAAGTCAATAGCACCCAGCATTTTCGATCCAGGCTTAGATATCTAGCTAGAGAATTTCAAAAAAATGTCCTGGCAGCTACACTGACATCAGAGTCTCGACTCGGCTTCACGAATCCAACCACGTTAATTCCGACAGACTCACTGAAGAAGATGAGTGTGCTATGGCTCAGCACCCTGCGCTCGACCCCACGGTGTCCCCAGCGTATGCCGAAATGGAATCGTGTTCTTCCATCAGGCCAACAAAGCCTCCGGGAAAATCGTTACACTTCCTGTGCGTAGTTATTAACTAACTATCCTCCCTGACTGAAGAAAAGCTAATAGAATCTGGTGAAATGTGAATTTTGGACAACAATTTCAAATCAAAAGAAAGCAAAGCAAGCTGTTTTAAACCACTGCGTTTTAGAAAGGGACGAAGCAGCACACACAAAAGGAAGACACCACAGTCCACCAACAAAGCCAGAAAATACTCAGCGAAGCTGGCAAGAGCCTCTGCCGACCAATCACCTGCGGTTTTCCTCCAGCACATCCAAGATCTGCTGGTAAGCCCTACGGGTAGAAGACTGGATAAGCGACAAAATGCCACGCGCAGAGGAAAGATTAGCTCCGTCTTCAGGGAACACACGGGGAGGACAGACCCGAACCTGTTGTGGCGACGGTGTCACACTGTTTACGTGAGCACAGCAAATGAAGAAAAAAAAAAAACACAAAACACTCAAGTCAGATTTTTATAAAACTTTAGCTGAGCAGTTCTCCCAGTTATATTTTTAAAAGTTTCTAAATTTTCTTGCCCCTTCTCCCACCCTTCGCTTTCCCCTAAGAAAACAGTCAAATCGAGTTAAGTTAATATATCAAATTGTTTTAAAAGACCAACCACAATGCAGCACCTGTAACTGTGTAGCCTTAAACATCAAAGTAAAAACACGGATTGTGAGAGAACAACGTTGGAGAGTAAGGCAACTGCGGCTGAGAGCGTGTTTGTCCGCTAGCTCTGGGGAAGGAGCGCTCCTCACTCGGTGGGTGCGTGCATTTCAGTTCAGCAGCCACACTGCTCACAAACAACTCTGCCCTGCGGCTTACTAGGACGGGAAATTCTGGTGTGCAGGTGTCGGACGGACTCGAAACACGTGGATTGAAAGTGATCCTGCGAAAATGCCATTTCAAAGATTTCGCAAAGACCATGAAGCAAGCTGCGTTTACAAGTAAATTTAAAGATGAATTCAAGTTTCAGAAAGCTGTAACAAAAGTACTTTAGTTTTTCAATTATATTCAAGCATGTGACCTCTGGCTAAATGACTAACACATAAAACTCCTCCCAATCCTGTGAATACAGTGAAAGACAAGGATTCTCCTGAAATTATCCAGACGGACATTAAACAGCCATTTCCGGGCTTCTCAGTGACAGCAATTTTACGTTCTTTCCTGCACGAGCTAAGTCACAATTTCTTGGGCTCCACTGCCAGCGCTTCCTAAAAACGGAACACACGTGAATGGAGCAGTTTTATAGTTCTAACCTGAACTCACGAGGCTGGCGTCAGTATTTTCAGAGACTTGTTTAATGTCAGAGCACGGTTAGCCACGTGAGGTCTTTAAGTACATAGATTTGGCATCTGGGTTTTTACAGTAAGAGGTTTTGTTATAAAAGGACCAGGACCCTGAGATATGGGCTCAACATTTTTTCAAAGTCAGGGCTAAACTGCAGACTAAACCTCATCCTTGTGTATTACATCAAAAAAAAAAAAAAGAAAGAAAAGAAAAAAATAAAGTAAAAAAAGAAAATGGAGAAGACAGTGAAAAACTGAAAAGAGAAAATCTTTTATTTTGACTTGTATAATTTTTTTTTCTAACTTAATGTGTACTTGTTTGGAAACCACAAAATAAGTGGGATAAGTTTTGAAAGGATAGCTGTCATCTGGTATTATTCCCCGAGTCCCAGAAAATTAAAAACAAAATCTTTTCATAATTTTGTGCAGAACTTTGAATGCCTTAATGATCCCAAGTGCAAAGTAGAATAAACGTGAAAACCATGTTTTCCAAAGACTACTTAGAAGAGAAAGACCTAAGCCAAGTCTTAGCATATTGAGAAATTAATGTCAGGGCTCATTTCCCCATGGGAAGAAGGCCTAATGGTGCCGAAAGAAATGCAAGTTTTCGGATGCAGGCTCACGGTTATTTAGTTCCCCTAAGCATCTGCCCAGAGACAGAGAAGGTCCTGGGATGCACACGAGCCAAGTTACCAACCGACCCACTGCACTTGGCAGAACCCATATTCGGCATCCAAGGAGAGTAAAAAATCAGTCTACCTAGACACAAGTCTAGGTACTCGTCTTCCACTCAGGATTCTCTTTAGGCAGCACAGGGAAACCTGAAGCTCTCGCTCTGTGTTAGAAACCAGACTGAATTCATGCTAGAAAAGTGCCACAGAGGCTGGAATAAAAATGGCCAGTTCCGTGCCACATGCACAAGAAACCCTACACACTTCTGGACAGAGCTCCCAACACACCTGGCTGCATACGCCTGAGCAACTTGTAAAAGACTGAGCAGTACAATGTGTATTGATATAATTAAAGATGTTGTCTTTGTACTTTGGCCCTTAAATTGAACACTTATGCATGTTATTCTATATTAGTGAAAAAAGTAGCTACGTACTACTATATGAAAGTCTGTAACAATCAGTATTTAGAAAAATCTTATAGCAATAATGTAGATAACTTAATCCAAATCCATGAAAAAGGTTTGACAGATTTTTGTCCACTAAAAATTAAGAGAAAAGAAGGGTTATTTGAGAGAAATCGTTTTGTGAAAAAAATCAAGGGGAATTGTTTAAGTTCTAAAAAGTAGAAGTATTTCCTGCCCATACACAGAACATCAGGTGTATTTATACAGTAGTCAAGCACAAACTATTTTAAGATTAACTGCAAAGAATTCTCAAGATAGAATGCACAGAAGGTGTAGAGGTGTAGTTCTAAAACAGTCTATAAGATCTCTTCCAATTCTAAGATTCAATGATCATATGAAATTGAAAATGGTAATAATGGAAATTAAAAAGCTTACATGATCCTCAACTGTACTTTAAAAATTATGTAGAAAAATATAAAATTAAGTCTATCAATACTAGTGAAGATATTTCATCAAAGACTAACATAAAAAACATATTTGGCTTTCTGATGGTTTATTTAAAAAATTAAATTTTCAAAGATTAGTAAGAAATACACATTTTTATTAATTTATGAGGTAATCCCTCATAAACAGCAAAAACATAATAGGATTTTTTTAAATGCTGACCACTTTGGACAGTATATGAATAGATTAAATGCCCTTCATTATTAGCATATATTTTCATCTCTAGATGAATTAAATGATTAACTCTTAAGATGGCTAAAGTCACCCTCATTAGAAGCAATAAATACTTTAGCAATATTTAAAAGACTTGAAGCAGCCTTGCAAGCCTCTTTTACGAATAAACAAATTTCAGAAGGAAAGTAACAGGCTCCATTTCAGCATCCGGTCTGACGCTACCGGAACGCCCGCCACCGCGCCTGCTGCGAAGGGGACTGCTGGGGTTTTATTTTTACCTTGTTTTGACAAGTGAGCTACCGCGACAAATAAAAAAGTAAACATATCGCAAAGGCAGTGAGATTATTTACCAAATGTTATATTAGTGGTTTAATAAAAATGCACTTTGATGATAAATTGATCCTAGTCATGTTATAAAACATCAACAATTTCAAAGCTTTTTCTTTTATGAAAGGTTAGAAAAGCTGGAAGAAAGCACCAGTGCCTGCCATGTTATTTCATTAGCAGCAGCTCTGTCTCAGGCTTCCATAAAATTTTATGACATGAGAGTTAAGTACATCGACACTAGCCAGCGTCAAAACTCAAATCTACCTGGCATCGCTGTGTCATTATCAAAAGGAAAGTCCAAACACAAGTACCTCCTTCCCCAGGTTTTCAGAGGAATGATGTTTCTCAAACCGGGAGGATACCTCCCTGAGGTTCCCGCCTCTTCCAAAAGAAGAGTAAAGGTACCATAGTGAAGAAGGAGAGAAAGCACTTTCACTGAGACACGTTTCTCTTGAAATTTTGAAATATAAAGAAAGCTTTAATTTGTTGCCACTACCTAAGGCAATTTACAGTTCCTAGAAGCACAATGAGAGAAGGAAAACAAGAGAAAAATCACTGGTTGTCAGAGTGGCTTTTGTGGCTTCAGAACTACATTAGCTTTTGAATTCTCATACTGAACACCGATGTTCCCCTTCTCTATGGGTTTCACAGTCTCAAAACATTCTCCGAAATATAATTTTAATCTATGATATTAAAAAAAAACACTTCAATGACAAACCACACATACTCTCCATTCTTCTTCTGAGTCACAACAAAGCAAGATAGTGCACTAAAACTTTAAAAAAGATTGGGATCACTACACTTGATTAAAGTTGAATCTCTAGAGAATATTTCAACCAAAACAAAATAAAGAAAATGAAAACGGGTATTGGTCTTTATGTGTGAATTAAAACAAATTTATTGGGGTGACACTGATTACTAAAGTCACATAGATTTCAGGTGCTTGTATGTAAATGATTCCATTTTACTTTCACCATCATACCCAAAGTCATACATAACTTTCTTAATTGGTCCCATTTTCTCCCCCTCTAAATAAAGTATATGATGACAGTTTGAGAAATCCTGAACCAGAGGTACTAAAAAGCCAAACAGTAAGAGAATTAGGGTATTGCATGCCAATTACTTGGTGAAATGTTAGTATAACATAAGCCTGCAAAATGAAAAGAACTCCTACTCGTGAAAAGCAGAGCGGATAAAATCTTACGTGTACTCCGGTGCAGAAATCGGTGACTGGAACCTTGACATTTTATTTCTTGGGGCAGAATCTGATCTGAGCCACCTTAAATAATAATTATGCTTCTTTTACATATTCAGCTTTTATAACACAAAAGAAAAGCTAGATACAATTCTACTGGTCAGAATTCATTTTTGCAGCTACAGCTGACCACAATCAATTCTGCTGCCTCTTGAAAGTAACACAGAGAAGAAAACAGAGGCCAGTGCTCTTGTCTTACACGGTAAGTACTTCTATTCAAGCCAAGTACTTCTATTCAAGCCAAAGGTCCACTCACAATGACACATAATTACCTCACATTACAAAGAAAAGACTGAAAAGCAGGAAAGACAGCAAAAGTTTGATAATTACTTTATTAATGATAAAATGTAGCTATATTAACAGTTTCTCCCTGGCCGTGTTACCAACACTGACTGCACAATATGCTCATTGTATAAAATACCTAAGGTTAACTAAAGGTACATTCATAAAGATGAATTCAATTTTAAATTGTAAAATCAATAATGGTAGGAGACAAAAAGGCAAGGTTATACTACTAACAGGAAGACAGTTAAATAACTTACCTGCCATGACACGGTAACACACATATAGCCACCATAATAAAAAGTATGGTTAAGTAATATAAGCATTTCAATGTGAAATATATAGTTAAATATTCATGTTCCTTTTAGTACCAAAAATTAAAATACGAACTTTTTAGTGTTGTTCAACATCTAGAATGCCATTAAGGCAATTTAAAGACAAAAAGAAATATTAGTTAACTCTGTTAATCCTTTCTGTTATGAGGAACTCATGTTACTGGTAACCGCAAAAGTATCCATGAACTAATCATTTACTCTAATACAGTGGGCTGGTTTTTATACATAACAGAGCTGTTTCTTCTGACTGAACTCAGCTACTAATAAAATATACGTTGTAAGGAGACAACAACAACAACAAAAGAGATGCTATATTCATGCTTTTATTTCACTAGTATGAAATTTCAAAATAACTAAAGATCTACATGAGGCCTATGTTTATATAACAGAAAAGCTCATTAAAATCTTTGCTGCCTTAAAAAATGTTGCAAATGGAAAATAAGAGAAGCTCTTAGGTTATGTTCAGTCATTCTGAGGGGCGCTAAATATCAAGAAGCTACACTAGCCATCAACTATGCAGCTTTTTCACCGTATGTATAATCCACTTACATATTCCAGAAAAACGATTTCGTGGGCTGGCTAACTTGAAAATAAAGACGTTTTCTTCAAGTGTTTACCTTTTAGTTGCTTTTTTAACCCACACGCTAGATAAACAGTTTTGAAGGATGCACAGAACTAAGCACTTACGTTTATCAATTTTCCTTAAGTCTACTTTATGGAGGATCCGCAAAATACACAAATCATACTTTGAGAAGACCATCATACACATTAAAGATAACGCCACTGAAGAATTTTCACAACTGGTCAGACTTTAAGGCCGTAAAACGTACTGCGATTATGTAAAATTGATGTAAATGGAAAACGATTTCAAACGCTATTAGAAGTAAATTACTTCCTCAGTTTCTCAGGCATAAGGCACACACACACTTTCCCCTCCTTTTCCCTTTTCCCGAAGTGCCTGAGGGTCGACAGGCAGGGCAGACAACACGCGGAGCGACTCAGGAGGGAGGCGCAATGCTCGCGGGTGGCTGTACTCACATGGAGTCCGTCCTGACCAGCTGTCCGTTCTGGCGCACAGCGTTTTCACTCATAGAGCGCTCTCTCTTTAGCCTGCCAACCGCACGGACCTGCAGGCACAAAGAACAAGAAGGGAGTGCAAAATATTCTTAGTAGCCTAGGAGCGGCTTAGTATCAAAAGTACCTTAACCCAAGGCTACGCACAAGAATTGCTGTTAGGCTTATGTACTGTAGATAAGAGTTATGTTATTTAGGAACAATTCCCAACAGTTTTTAAAGGCACATATACTGTAGGAAGCAGGACGCTTCTGCCTTTTTTCCTCTGAACTGTTCATGTTTGGCACGATGGCACCACGGTGCGCGAAGCCCAAGCAGCCACGTGAGAAGACCACGTGGAGGTGTGCTAGCCAACAACCCTAGCTGAGGTCCCAGATGGTGAGTAAACCTTCAGATTATTGCAGCCTCAGGCTACCTTAGGCTCATATATTGCAGAACAGAAACAAGTTTTCCCTGCTGTGCACGATGCAAATTCCTTACCCACAGCAAAATAAACAGTGCAGCCGCCACGGTTTCAGGGCCCTGGTGATTGCTAAGATTGAGCAGTCATTCCAACTTCCCTCTCCACCAGCCCTCTGACAACCGCTGACCTGCGTTCTGCCTGTTCTGGATGTTTCACGTAAGTGGGGCCATACAATACATGGCCTTTTCTGTTCGGCTTCCTGGACTCAGCATAACATTTCAAGGTTCACCCATGTTGTAGCAGGTGTGAATACTTCATTCTTTATTATGGCTGGATAATACTCCACTACAGGGATACACTACATTTTGCTTATTTATTTGCCAGCTGGTGAACACCTGAGTGTTTCCACCTTTTGGCTACTAGAGACCTTTTGGATTTTCATGACTTGGAGGACACTAGTGGCATCTAGTAAATACAGATTAAGGATGCTGACGAACATTCCAAACATTCTACAGTACGAAAGGACAGCCCTCACCACAACAAAGAATTATCCAGACCAAAGCGTCAATGGTGCTGCATGCAGATGAGACACCTCGGCCTAGGCTGCAACCCACAGAGTCAGTGACTCGGGGATCTCACGTGATAGATACTGAATAGCATCTGGACGAACCATCAGTGTCATCAGCTCACAGGGCCTTACTTGCCCTTCCACGTCAACCCATTCCCTAAAACCCACTGGAACTCTGGTTCCTTCCTCTTTCTCCTTCGCTCCTCGGCTAACTGCCTCTCGAGGGCTGCCTGACCCTTCTTTACAATGGAGGCGCAGACCACCACCACTGTTTCCCTTTCAGTAGGCAGCTGGGGCTAAAATCAGAAACTCCTCTCCTGCTTCTCAGGATCTGGCTCCTGCTACAGGTTTTCACTTCCATAACAACATATGTACACACACTGTGCTTTTAACATAAATTAGAACACACCCTAAACACATGACATGCATTATAATATTTAATTCTCACAATAATCTCATACACTCGGCATTATTTTTTATCTTTATTTTAGAGCTGAGTCTTGTACTTATCAAATAACTTGCCCAAGGTTATGCAGTTAATATGTAGTAAAGGAGGTCTCCAAAATTAGATCTAATTCTCAACCTAAGTTTTCCACCCCAGTATTATATACCCTGGGTACTTATCACATTTGACTAAATACCAAAGTAACTTAGCAGGAGTAAATCCCACATAGACTTAAAACTCTAGGTCTGCGGAGGGTAATTCTGGTGGTATACTTTTTTCCCTCACTCAGGCTTAAAGCAATCACTCAGAAAAGAGTGTGGCTTGTTTCCGAGCAGTTCTTCATACCAAGTAGGCCTAAGTGTCTAAAATAGTGGGAGCAGAAAGATTAAAAGAAAAACAAAATGAGAAGGACATCAATGGGACGGTTTCCCTCCTGGCAGGACCCTTACTCCCAGGCAATACCAGTGACAGCTGTAGTTCCCGGCGGGAACTCTGGGGAGCTGGGGACGGGGCCTCTCACCGGGGCAAGCTGGGGCGCCTTCCTTCTGCTGCGTATGACGATCGCCATACCCTTCACTACCCCTCGCTATTACAGAACTCTGTATCTTCCGTGTGCGCTGGTGCCTTGCCCTCCCTCACAGCGCTATGCAGGAACTGTGTCTCCCAGGGTCGCGCCTTACAGTAACGTTAAAAAAAATGTTTCTTAAACAAATACAACTCTGAAAATATCTTAGTGCCTCTTCTACCACGTGAACTCTCACATTGAATGCTTTCCACCAAGCAGGTATCTAGAATGCCCAAATGAGCACCTAAGGATCTATTTTCTCTATTACCTTAGCGGAAAGTTCCAACTTAAAAGTCCATTTCTAGTACTAGGAAACTCCACTCCCTATGTTGTATGGGCCCTTTACCCTCCCTGGAGAACATTCTATCAGAAATGAGAGACAGGCGTCTCATTATCAAGAAAAACATGTGCTTCCCACCATCTCACACCAGCCTCTGACAGCACCGTCTTTCAGAGGGTGTAATGAAGAACCTGCAACTACAGAAATCGTCCCAGGAAAGGAGTTTTACAAAACTGGCCCTGGATCAATGGCAGAGGCAATATGTGAACCTCGTTACTAATACCTGATTAAGTCAACAGGGCTACCAATGTTACGTGACACAGTAATTAACTCAGCAGAAACTTTTCAGCAAGCAGGGAGAAGAGCTGGTGTCAAGGGAAAAGAGAGCTTTCTTTGCCCTGTCGGCCAGCCTGATTGTGACAAATCGATGCATTAACCTTCTCCTATGCTAAACGTTCCAACTTCTTCTGCAATGCTGGTGTAGTGCCCAGTTCATGACTTCCACAAAGTCTGCTTTTCCCTGAAATGTAATATTTAAATTAAAAAAGTAATAGCAGAATACCTTTTTCGAGGTGTCTACAAACCAGAGTTTAAAGCAATCATCGGTCCGTGCAGAAGGCTCCCATCACAATTACTAATGATATGGTTTATAGCCTCTTCACTCCTCTTTAACTTTTGCTTTTTAAAAAATATTATTTCAAATTTAGTTGATGTTAAAAACTCTACTTACTTCATCATTTTGAGGGGTTGGAGAACGTCTTTCTAAATCCAGAAAATCTAGCGGTCTTTCACTTAATGTAAGTACACGAGGTGGTGTTTTTAGTGCCAGAGGTTTTAAAGAAGTCGACTGAATGAGGTCAAGATCCCCTGGTCTTGAAAATGGAATGTCTTCATTATTACCTTGGAGTAAAAATATAAAAAGGAAAGAAGGGAGATTTTGAAAAGCTAGTACTATTTGCCACTACATACCCACTAGGATGGCTAAAATTGAAAACTGACAATACAATGTGCTGACAGGGATGTGGAACAACTGAAATGCTCACACATCACCAATGGGAATATAATAGAGTAGAACCAATTACCAAACTAGCGACAGTTTTTTACAAAAGTGAAACATAACTTACAATATGATCTAGCAATTTCATTCCTAGAGATATAAAAACACATGTCTTCACAAAGCTCTGTGTATGGAATAGCCATGGGGATGTAAAGTACAGTGTAGGAAATGGAGTAGCCAAAGAACTTACATACATGACCCACGGACATGAACAATGGTGTGGGGACTGCCTACTGGAGTGGGGGTTGCCGGGTGGAGGGGGGCAAATGGTAAAAATTGGGACAACTATAATAGCATAATTAAAAATGACAAACCCACCCTCAAAGTTCTGCACATGAATATTCAAAACAGCTTTATTCCTTAAAACCCCCAAAAGGAAAAAACCCAATGTCCACCAAAGATGAATGGATAAACAAATTGTGGTGTGTCTACAGCGTGGAATTTTACTCAGTAATAAGTTGGACTGGACAAGATATAAGCAACAACGGGAAAGAATCTCAAAAACCTTACTCTAAGCAAAAAGCATATACTGTGTAACTCTGCTTATGCGAAACTCCAGGGAAGACCAACCCAGCCTCTGGCTGCAGAAAGGAGACCACGGCTGCCAGGAGCTGCTGGGTAAACATGGGGCGAGACGGGGCACACGGGGGCTTTCTGGGGGAGTGAAAATGTCCCATATCCAGAGAGTGCTCGAGGTTACAGGGGGCATACATTTGTCAGAACTCATTAAACTGTATACTTAAAAATTACACACATTTTATGTATATAAATTATGAAAATATTACTCTCAATTGTTAGTTGATTAAAAAAAATTGTTTGAAATTTCAGACTATTATAATGCATACAAATTTTGAAAAAAAAAAAAGTTAGTTGCATTTCCCAGCTCCTTTTCTAAATAATGTTTAAAAAACCCAAAAGTTTTCCTAAAATATAAATAAAACCAAAGACACGTCAGGCAGCGTAAGAAGCAGATGTAAAATACCTGCCACGACGATCCTCTCGGGAACCTGCATAATCACACTAGCATTTGGAACTCCTCCTTGAAACTCTTGCTCCAGGTCAGCATTCGGTGGTGCCACCTTTAACTTTTCCGGGACCCTCATTCTCTGACTGATACCTTCAGTGTATTCCATTTCGTACTGAATTCGACTAATTTCTGCCATCTCAGCAGCAGTGGGAGAAGGAAAGGCTGCCCCACTCACTCTGTGGGCAAAAGAGTTACAGACAGGTGGGTGAGTGTTACAATGGTAGTCTCCTCCGCGCCGTCAAGTTAGATGACAATACCTTGTCCAAAGAGCAACAAGGGACTTCCCAATTATGAGTACTTAATACATACAAAGTAAAAATAAAAGGTGAAGACAGTGTTTTCCTCAACAGAATGCCTTCTCACTTATCAGGTGAAACTGCACCTTGAGACTATTGCTTGGGATCAAATTTAAAAAATTACTTTATAACCACACCACAAACGTGCACGCACACATACACTCTCTCTGCATAGCTCTGCGTGCTGCTTGTAACTCAAAGCTGTCTGAAAGAAAACTTAATTAAAATTTCCTAATCAATTAGTTGAGGAAAATATTACAAAAGTAATATTTGAAATAGCTGTCATGCACAAAAAACTTTTATAATCAAAATCAGATTCATAAGGCAAATCAAGTTAATTCTAAATTTACTAAAAAAAAAGAAGATGCCAGACCTTGAAAGTCACAAAATACAAATTAAAACTTCTCTTGCTGAATGTATATCTGATGATGAGATGCAACGAACAGCAAATACAGCACATGTATTAATAGATCCTTATTGCATACATTCGTTTTGAGGGAAAGTTTCACATTCTTAATTTGTATTTAATGTCATATTATTATCATGTATATTTTCTAAAAGCATGACATGCCTTTAAGGAGTAGGATGGTATGGATGCAGTGGGCAACCTAAATTAAAGAAGGACCCATGCTCCAGCGAAATGCAGTAGAAAGTTGCCGAAAAAAAATAGAAAATGCTGATAAAAATGTGAAAGAGCACAGTTAGCCTAAGGCAACCAGCTGTAAGGCCGCTATCTCTCAAGCCTGCAACACCAGCTCAACTGAAAAAAATGTCACTGACCTTCCTATTGGTGGGTCACTGGTCTTTCTTTTACTCATGTTTAATACAGTAAATACACGCCTCTAACAGCTACTAAAATACTGCTACCCTGCAGTTCAGTTTACTTTACACAACAATTCCCCTACAGATCTGAATTTTTTTGGAGGTGTACATAACAACACGGACACTGCTTTTCCAGCTGTAAAAAAGAAAGAATAAAAATCAGTATTTCAACAATTCATTTCATAAGACACTATGACTAAAAGTAAATAGCTACTTAAAATTATCTCTGGATTTCAGCGGGCTTGGGACTTGGTCTGAGAAATCAATATTCAAATCCCTGCTAAACAGAATTATTCTACAGCTCAAAAATCATAAAGACGGTTTGCCAACAGGATAGAGAAAAAATAATCCAATGTATATAGAAAAGAGAAGTCAGATTAGAAAAAAAAAACACTGCATAAAACTGCTCATTATCTCCCCAAGGGGAAAAATCCTCTTCATTTTGTGACTAAGTACAAGTGAAGAAATCATGAAGAGAATGCAAGAAGCAGAAGTAAATGTATTTGAAGTAGCCTAAAAATTTGATGTACAAGTAGAGTTTTCTTTAAAAGGGAATCATTTTGACAACCAAATCATACTATATTTTCAGCAAAAGACCTTATATCTAAGTCAAGGGCAATAAAGAATTAAGGACAGTATAATTGTAAGTCATAGCCGGGATATTTCTGAAACTCCACGTCAGAGATGTATTACATGCCTTAACCCCCACCGCACTGAGATGCTTAGGACAGTTCTTACAGGTTGCTCAGGACGTTAAGTCCTGACAACTGGTTAATTATGACTGCTAATCTGCTTTTTTATTCTTTACCCAAATGTGTGAATTTTAAGGATTTGGCATGCAGATGATCCAAAGACTAAGAACACAGAGCTGAAACAGAAAATGTTTACTCACAAATGTGTACCAATTACTACTTGCTATTTGGCACTATCTGCTTCTGTGCTTCATAGTAAATACTTGAACTTGCTTCAATGTGTATGTCCTGGATTTAGAGTCACTCTTGTCCCTGGGGGAGAAAAACAAGAGCTAACTGAGAAGCTAGATGATACCGTATTAGTAATTCATTTCTGGAAGCCCTCCAAATGATCAAAGTTATCAAAGATGCACAACCTTACATTTTAAAAAAACACACACATGAAATAAAGAAGCAAATTAAAAAGCTTACCACCAATTTTAGTCTCCCAGATAGGGCTCTACAATCATTCATTAGTTAATGTGAGATTAAATAAAAGACTGTCATCATTTCTGATTTGAATTTAGCAAAATGTAGATGAAAATACATAAGTTTAAAAGAATCTTAATATAGATACATATAAGTGTACCTGTACATACATACATATATATTAAGAAGGAACACATGTATTGGCTAAATTTTTATTTAGTATTTAATTTCATATTTATTTACTTTTATTCCTAACTTTCATTCAGTATTCAATATAAAGCAGTACTAGGTACATATGGTACAAAGCACAAACACACTGAGAAAATAGAGCGTCCCATGACCTCCTATCCTATACCACAAAGGTCCCTATGGACAATCGCTACTATCAATTTTTGCTCATTATTCTAGATGAGATGCTCTTCCTACGCTTGTGTGGATCTGAAGCATCGTAAAAGCTTATATTGAGAAATAACACTGAAAAGATGTATCTCAAAAGGATTATAGTCTTGGGACATTACAAACTCAAGTTCTGTAATAATAAACAAGAGATGCAAATTGCTAGAGCATGATCTCCCTGAAGTACGCTATTCTCTGCACTCCATGTACTGCACTTCAGTCTCACTAATTTTGCAGGAGGACGTCCCGCCGGTCTCAGTGTTCTATTCTACAGCAATGCCGCACCCTCCGCACCCTCTGACAGTCCGAAGTTACCTTTAAAGCATTAGAGACTTAAGTCACAAAGGTGGGCCTGGAAAACGCAGCTTCTGGAAAAAGCCAAATTACTCCTCAAGCCAATCTTAGCTACTTAAATGTAACAAGTAAACGGACCTTTTCTACAAAGATTTAACACTGAACTGTCCAAGTTACAAGGTTTTTGCTTAAGTAAAATACATTGAAATCTAATTTTCCTCTCCTTCATTAGACTATGGCATTTTTGGTAATACCTTTTGGCAATAAATAACTTCTCATTTGGAGTTAAGACATTAATTCTATAAGTTTTGTCACTTAGAATCTACTAGGTGGCCAGACCAGATTTTATTACAAAAGAAGGGATGCAAAATTGCTCTCAGAATCACAGTGGCCCCCAATATCTGCAATTTACCAACTTCGTGGTTTTACCCATATTCACACAGTGCATTTACTCTCAATCACATTTAATCATTCATTTGACTTCTAAAAATCTTAAGTGTCCTTTAAAAGGAAATTTTACATCACTATTTTAAACCATGGTTTCAATACATGTAACAAAAACTATTTCAAAAACCCTCATCCATATACCACCTAGAGTCAAGCCAGTCACATCCCACTCATGGAAAGTGTCCCAATTTGGGGACACAAGGATTCAAGCTTGACTGGTTTTCTACATCAGAACACCTGGGAGTGACAGAAAAAAACTTGGGTCAAATTGATCGTGCTGCAAAAAGTTATATAATTCTCTAATTACAACAACAACAAAAAAGGTCTGTTTTTTTAAAATCACCTATTGTGTGAACCTAGTTCAAGGTTTTTATCTAGGTCACCCCGTTAAGAGTTCTCTTCAAGCAACTATGCTCAGAGAATGTACCTATTAGAAAGGTAGGGTGTAGCGGTGCAAAATTAATTTTAATTTAAGAAAAGTCACTGAAAACTTGGAAAATATAAACTATCGAACTTTGAATGAGGATTACGGATCCACAGAAAACAAGTGGGAACACCAGAAGGGAGGAGAGTAACAGTCCAACTTCATACTCCTAAAATGGGCCAGCCCTATCAGGCAGGAAGGGCTAGACACAACTTCCTTCTGGAAAAAACAGCAAACCCAGTTCACAAGCCTCTGAAACCGAAAAGATAGCAGGTCCGCGTACCCCTCCTCCCCCCAGTCAATTACATGGTTTGAAAAGACTACTAAGTACAACTAAATGGTTCTAATTCTCTCCAAATCCATTCTCCTAAGGGATTTTCCTTTGGGATCGTATTAGCTCACGAAATCGACACAGATGCAAGCGTTTTTTCATCTAGGGAGACAAAACATTTAAGACCTTGCAGCTCAAGTGTCTCCGCGGGTGAGAGGTCCGTGTCCAACAAATCCCATTCGGGGGAACAAAGAACAAGGACCCCAGGCTTTTCTTAGGTTCTGCAATTAAAAGACGCCTCCGCTTTTGGAAAGGTTCTCCTCCCGGAGAGGCGGCGCCCGGCTCTAACGCGGTGGTAGGACGCAGCCGGGGTTCCTTCCACCCCAGCAGGACTCCGGCAGACCAAGGTCAGAGGCTCGGTGGAACGGGAGCCCAGCCCTCCTCCCGCGTCCCGCCCCTGGGAGGAAAGCAATCCAGGCAGGATCTCGGGCATCTGCACCTGCGAGCAAGGATGCTCCCAGGCTAGGCCGCCCTGCGCCTCGCGCCAGCTTCCAACGAAGCCTTTCTTTTCCAACACGTACTCTTCACAAAGTAAAAAAATACAAATAAAAAACTACTTTTCAAGACGACAGGTACCTAGCTCAAGGTCATATACATGCCTGGGCCTTGTACCGGAGAGAGAGGGAAGACGACCGGCAAAGCGCCACGGCCAAGCTCAGCACACTCCTATTGTTTCGCAACCCCCAAACTAATTTTTCTAGGCGAAAAATTTGGTCCAAACTGATCGACCGTAAGAGACAGAGAACTACAAAGGGAGCAGAGGTTAGTCAGTCCCTAAACGTCTTCAGGACAGTTTTCCCCCGGGGCCTGGGGGTGGAAGGTGGGAGAGGCAAGGCCCCGAGAAGGCGGAAAGCCAGGGTTGAAGGAGAGAAGCCGGGGAGGGGACTCAGGCAAGGGTGACAGCAGGGACGCGCCGGGGCCGCCGCTGGTCACGGCCTCGGCTCCAGGCTGCGAGTCCCGGGTCGGAAAGACGTCAGTACTCACCCCTCGGCCCGCTGGAGGGACACCGGCTGGGGCCGCCGCCCGCCGGCGCCCGGGGCGCTCTGGTGAGCGCTGTCAGAGGCCGTTGGCCGAGCGCACGGAGGCGCCCGGGCAAAACACCGGCCGGAGCGGCCCGCAGAGGGCCGGCAGAGACGCGAGAACGGCCGGGGCTGGCCCCTTTCGGGACCCGTAGCGGAGGCTGGGTTGTGGTCACGTGACGCAGGGGCCGGCGGAGGCGCGTCCGTCGTACGCACGGGAGTGGGGGCTGTGACTCCGGCGGTCCGCTGCGGAGGCACGTTTTCTGCAAAGGGCAGTGCATCCAGCGGAGGGGACGGGTTTTCACGGTACGTGTTCGGTTCGCGCGTGTGCTGATTAGAGTCTGTCGTCGTCGTTAAGAACCTCCAGTTTTACAAGTAGACCCTCGGTAGCTTGTTAAAATGACTAATTTTCAGAGCTGCCTGCATCACGATTTACCTGGTGTGAGGCCTGGGAATCGACCGTTTTCGTCAGCTGTGCAAGTGATTTTTTTTTAAAAAAATGAAACTGATTGGGGTGATCTTAGTTAATAAAATTAAGTAGGTTTCAAGAGTACAGTTCTGCAATCCATCATCGTCTGTATATTGCATTGTGTGCCCACCACCCAGAGTCAGCTCTTCCGTCGCCGTGTATTTGCTCCTCCTTGACCACCCCGCCCCCGTGCCTTTCCCTCCGCTGACCACTCTGCTGCAAGGGATTCTTAAACGCTTGGATTTGGATGGCTCTTTAGGCTAATTCCAGACTTCTAATTTAACAGTGACCCCGCCTCTGCCGGACTACCCTAATCCTTCAAGATGAGAATCCCGAAGGATTTAGGTTTCAGTGTTGTTAAGCTCCTTTGTTCTTCTGGATCTAACTGACTTTCCGCAGGAAAAATCAGTACCTTGTCCGCCAACGTTGGGACGGACTGAAGCCAAATCACGGAATACTTGGTGCCCCCAAGTCCTAGCAGCCCTTAAGGGACCATCTTTTATGAATTACTACCTGAGGCCTCCAACTTTCGCACCGCTGCCATTTCCTAAAGCACTTAATCCCTTTGTCCAATATTATTTTTATCTTCTTTTCTTTCCCTACCAGATTATAAATTCTTTGATTTTTAAGAAAAATTTTGTGCAGCCATTGTATTTCATCTTCATTGTATTTCCCCCCCATTACTATTTAGTCCCCTTATTAAGTTCTGTGTTTGGAACCAAGGTCTGTATCTCCCCCATCTGGTTATTTTCTGTGGAATCAAGCATATTGAGCATGTTGTAGGTCTTTGGGGTAAAGTAATGGGACTCACTCCTTTGTTTGGCTGAAAAATTGAAACTAAGGATAATTCCAAAGCAGTAGTTTTAAAAAGGTTTTGAGCAATGTCAGCATTTTTGGAAAACGCCATAAAGTCTGCAGAAATCTAGAGAGTGTAATATTTATCTGAAGTTGTTTAAATTCAGCTTGGTTATTCAAAAAAATCCCTTACTTTTCCTCTGTGTTTGGTTGTCTCTTAGTTTCCAGTAGGCAGACCTGGAATTAGGGTGAAGTGAGTTAGGCACTCTTAGTGTTCTCAGTGTTCTGTGTTTACTGCCATTAGGTTGCTAAGAATCCACTAGAGACTGATCAAAATTTTCCTCTCCAAACAGTCTTATAAAGTAGAGAGAGAGGGAGGGAGAAGGAGAGAGAATGAGCTCAAACACAGCATTAATTTTTCTACTTGCCAGCTGTAAAAATAAGTTCATTAAAATGGATTAGTATGTTTTTTAACTCAAAATGTTTACAAACTAGATTTTTTTTTGCCCCATTATGAGAGTGGTTCTAAGATATTTATTTAAGCAACGATTTTCTTGGTCTTACTACGATCACTGTTCATTCTCTTTCTTTGCTGATTATATCTTTATTGTCATTCAACACAGCCTGTAAGTTCCTTAATTAAGAGATTTCATGCTTAGTGTATTAAAAGTGTTCTTCACCAGTTCTCTACATTTGAAATTTTATGAGTATTTTCCTCAAATGAGGAGTAGTTGTATTGTAAATGGGAAACATGTTATCAAAATATATGACCCATAGTTCCCATAATCTATACAGTATCTTACTGATTTGCAAAAACTCCTTACACATTGCCACAGAAAATGAGCAAAGGTGTGATTGGGCTCCTCACGGGAAAACAAAAATAAATCATAATGAAAATACTAATGAGAATCGACAATGTTCAACCGCAGTAGTAATGAGCAAAATATTAAAATGAGATAGGAAAAACTGTAAAATTGGGGATTCATTGACTTATGTAGTACATCCGTGCAAGTAATGATTAGTTCTCGTCTGTGGATATGAAAACATGTCCCCAGTGTGTTAAGTTCTGTACTGTCTATTGATTTTACAGTGAACGCATATTTTTAAAGTTCAAAATAAATTGTTTTCATTTTGAAAATTAAGACCAGATATAATTTTTTCGATTTTATTATTAGACTATAATAAAATTATATTTTAGCTATAATTACAGAAATATTAGTACATTACAACATTGTAATTTTGTCAGGATATAATAATATAAAGTATTCAATATATTTTAAATATATTTCATTTGGTTATAGAGTAAATATTAAGTTTTGTAGCAGTAAGTTGCATCTGATGCATAGAAAAACCTTTGTAAGTTATATTAGCAATAAACTTCAAATTTAATATTGTAATACTTTTATAAATAAGTTATTTAATAATATTTATCCTGTAGAAAGAGAAACCCATGAGCACACTGTAATTCCAGAGTTGAAGCCAAGCCCCCAATGTAAAAGAAACAAGTTATGTATCATTTTATCTACCAAGTTAAATCTTCCCAACTTTATAAGCAACTCACAGGTGTCTTAGGAAGAGACGCACATGAGCTGTGTTTTGGCGCTCAGTCTGAGAAGCACGATCGGGCGGCTGGTGACACGGCTGCGTTGCGCATCACCTGCCTTCCTCAGAAGTTAGACACCCATGAGAGGGCAAGAGGGATGGAGGCTGGGGGACGAGCGGACGCCAGTCGTTTGCCATCAGCCCCAATCTAGGGCTTCTTCATATTAGTAACATGAGACAACCTTAAGTTCACTTGTGATTTTGGACCGGAAAAAAGGGCACAGGGGGAACAGTTGTGGCCAGCTATGCCTGGTAACGGCTTGTAGAATGGTTTTTTGGGGTGTTTGCCTGGAGCAGTTTTTCTCAGTCTTAACCGGGCATTGGGAATCACTGGGGGAGAAGGGGGTTGTTAAAACTCCGGACCTTATCCCCGGAGTTTCTGATTCTGTCAGTGTGGGGTTGGCCCTGGAATTTGGATTTGTGACAAGTTCCCAGATGCTGCTCCATGGGGACTGCTTTGTGTGGTGTCGGAGACTGTAGCACCGTGCAGGCTAGGCCTTGAAAGGGGCCCGTGAGACTTGACCGGAAAACCGGGAATGCAGGGGGCAGGCATGACCGGGTGCTAGCACCGAGGGTTCCCTTGGGAAATCAGGCTGAAGAATGCAGTGCACCCTTTGAACAAAGCTTGCTTTGCTTTGCTCTAGCCCTGTTGGTATAAACCAGGTGTTTAAGTTCAAACATTGTGTGCAGGCCAGTTTATTTCATCCACGACCAGGAGGACTCCACGGGGCAGGGTACCCCTCAGCCGCTGGTCCAGGGACCACTCTTGGGGAACTACCAGTCTATAGAGGGTTTGTGGGGATCTGTCAGCCCTCTGTGGCATTGCAGTACAATGGGGACAGTAGGGCATTTTTAGAGCAAAAAGTCTTAATATTAGATGAGTATAAATAATCTCAGTAAAACGTGCTTCTTAGTTGAAACGTAAAAATGGTTTGATGGCCGTCACGAGAGCAGTGGAGGAAGTGGGCCATGGTCATAGTCTGCGCTGTCCTCTGGGGCCACGTCTTCTCTTCCAGGGTAACTGAGATGGAAGCAGTAAAACCTGAATTTAAATATCAGCACCACCACCTCCACCCAGGTGGGTCGGGAAACATCTTCAGAGCTTTTTCGTAGGATGCCGGCTTCTGAGACTCATCCATAGTGCTGCCATCAAGTATAAATTGTTTTTAATGTTTTGCAGAGTTTTTGTTTAACATTGTCTAAACCAAGATCTGTGGTGCCTAGGAAAAGCTAGCCTAGGAGAAGCTAGAAATCCTGGGCATAGATCTTATTTTTAAACCCTTACTGAGGGCTGCTGAATTAATGATGAAATATTAGGACAGAGATAAAGGAAGAAAAAGGGGGTAACAACTCAGCTGTGTGGGGTTCCTAACAGAAGAAGTAAGTTACTTTTTCCAGGATGTTACATCAGAAACAAGTCCCACCCCTCAGCATTTCTGTAATTTAGCACAGTGCCTGGGGTACGGCTTGGTGCTGAATAAAATACTTGTTAAGTTGAATTAAGTAACCCTGGGAATGTATCAACCACACTGAAAAGAAAGTTTTAAGACACAGTTGGCAAGCTATACAATTTGTACATTAAGATTTTTACAGTGGACTTTCTTAATATGGTTTGAAAAACATGTTTTTACCAAAGAAGAATTAGGGAAGTAACAAGGGAGTTTCTAAATATCCAAGTTGAATGGAATATTTCAAGCAAAGGAAAAATATTCGGAGCCTCATTAGCCAACAAGTGCCTTAAGTTCTTTCATGGATTATTGAACTACTCAATTTTATGCACCAACATTTATATGGGTGGGGATAAAGTATATACCCACATCTAGTAACTTGTTCTCTTGTTATTTGTGTGGGTGTGCTGGTAAAAGAAAAGCTAAAATTAGACCCAGTTCTGAGTATGTGTGTAAAAATTCTATTAAAACTAATGCACTAAGGGTAAAAGCTGTACCTATGCGGAATACAAGCAGGCTCTGTTGCTGCAGTGACATGAATTCAATGGATGAACCAAAAGATAACCAAAAAATAAACAAAACCATACAGTGTTTCCAAGGCTATTGTGATTCCATTCAGGGAACCTCTCTTTTAGCCTTAGTATGCATATGTTTAAAAGAGCCCTAGAAAAATCCCTGAACCCCAGTTTAATAACGGTTCCCTCCAGCCTTAGGTTAATTAACAGATCCAAAAGTCCAGTTTCATGAATGATGCACGTCTTCTTCCCTGCATCTCGTCTGCTTAGGATCTAAAGTCTTAGGAAGTAGGTGGTGGGTCATTCTAAAACTAAAATAGCC